CAACAACTTCTTTTAAGTCCCCCCCCAGCAGGAAAGCGTAAACGGATTCACATGCGTGCAGAGGACCCGCGTCTCAGGGGTGAGTTTGTTTTCTCCACCCCGAGTCGAGCTGCTGAAGAAGGAGCACGAACGGAGAGAGCCGCTCCATTAGCAAACCTGTCTGGCTCCCACATGCTGTGTTGTTTTCGTGGGACAAACGGCACCGTGGCCTTTTAAAACATTTTATCAGCTCGCCAACTTGGCAAAAAGTTTCACAGTCTCCGTTTTCTTCTCTTTTTTTCTTTTTTAAACATAAAAAAACATGTTAAGAAAAGGTTGCTTGAGAAGGGCTCTTCAAAGCAGCAGCATCTTGCATTCTTCTCGCGTTCTCGCAGATCTAAAAATAGCCTCGACTCTTCACGCTCGCTCGGATCCAACGGAAGCCGTCGGCGACACGTTGAACCAGAACTCTCACAACAAACAACGAGCGGCCGCCAGATGTGTTTAAGCTGCATTTGAGACCCGTCCAACCCTTCACACACACCCACCACCCCCCCCTCCCCCCGCACCTTTCCCCTCATCCAACTTTCCTTCCCACTACAGACCTTCTCTGACAAATTAATGATCATGAAGTCACAGTTTCCCCCCTCGGCCTGCACATTAGATTTTATTCACTCGGCTGCGAATCCGTTTGGTGATTAAACTGACGAGCAGCCGACGAGAGCAGCGAGGAGAGAAACGCTTCTATTTAACTAAACATCTTTCTGAGGAGTCTCCCCTCGGCTTCCCTCTGCTTCTGTGAGCGAACAATGGGGGGTGTTTGCCCCGGACACGCTTCAGAGGTAGTCAAAACACTTGAGAACGTCCCTTTGAGGTTTGCTGAGCGGAGAGGTTCGATCTTGGGGGGCAGATAAGGAGCTTATAAGGACCCCCCCCGATGCTCCTTCGACTGGGTTGTGTGGCTGTATGTTGTGTCTCCACGAAGGACACCCGTATCCTTTTTTTTCCTTTTTAGATTTGTTACTTTGGGTTCAAACAACGAGTTGCGGTCCGGAAGTCGGCGCCTGTCCGTCGTTATTTCTGTCATCGGCGTCTCTTTGCCAAACGCCGCTTGTTTGATCAGCTCTTCCTTCCCATCGGGCCTCCGGCTTTCCAGCTGTCGGGGAGGAAGACCAGCGGAGTTTATTTTGACGTAGATGTGATTCATCGAGACGAGGTCCGAAATCCTCGACCTGAACCACACGCAGAAGCTCTGCAGAGGGGAGCGGCTTCATGCCGCTGCTTTCCAACAGAAACCTTCTTCCCTTTCAAGCACCAGATCTGAAATGCTTGTTTTAGTTGTGTTTGGGTAAAACGTATTGTGCACGTTGGATTCACTCCTTAGCGATGCTGCCCAAAAGAACAAAAGGCCGGATTAACTGCTTCTGTTTTCAGAGCGCGGTTCAGGTGGTTCTCCTCCAGGCTGTTGTGCTTGGCCAGCGGCACCGGTCGGGTCTGAGACTCCAGGAAGCCGCTCCCTGCCGTCCAGTCTCTGCTTGTGTGCTGCTTCCTCTGCAAACATGCCTGTTGATGTGAGAAGTCACAGGAGGTCTGACGGAAGAGACCAACAAACACACACACACGGCATGTTTCGCCTGGATGGATCACGCCAGCGGTCCGATTGGAGGTGGGAAGGCGCGGCGATGGTTTTGCTAACGCTTCTTTTGAAGCATTGATGGTTTGAATTAGGAGGAGAAGGAATCTGTTTTGCCCGTTTCTCACAAGACTTGAAGATTTATTAATAGCGACCCACCGCAGATATCAGATTTTCCTCAGGTTTCGGTCTCGTGGCTCCTCTTCTGAACACAGAACCCAGTGTTCGTCTTGTGTTTCCCTCCGCGTGGTCCCACCTCTCCTGCAGCCCTCTCTCAACCTTTAACCCCCACCCAGGTAAATAACGTGTCAGGGTCGCAACTGTTGCCCTGCTTAAAGTTGATCAAAAAAATCATATTGATTCACTCGTTTAAACAAAAAAAATAAAAATAAAAACAGACCGTTTTTTTTTTTCCTCTTCTTGCAGGCACAGCTCGATTGTGCTGATGTCATGATATCCGTGCACCGCTTTAACTACGTCAGCCTCTGACTCAGACGACGACAGCTGTGCGCGTGACTGAACATCTGCATCGGGCGTCGCGTGTCTCACGGAAGGACTTTGACACTCGTACCTGTTAATTAACGCGCAAAGACGAGACGTTGCACACGCAGAGCAGGTGATGCCGTCAGCCACACTTTGTCACCAGGGCGATCACCTCCGGATGGCGGAGGAATCCCATCCTGAATCACAAAGTTATGCTAAGCTAATGCTGCTCTCAAGAGCCAGGTTGGAATTTATTTAATAGCCACATGCAAATTGAGGTAATAGTCGTATTTACGGCTAAAAAGTGCTCTTCAAAGAACAAACTTTGAGAAGTTTGAATCCTGATATTTTGCTAAAAGTCTGTTGCATAAAGCGGCCGCGGCACCATGACGCCTTTCTGCGTGTAGAGAGTCTGTTCATCTCTGCAGAAGCACGACGCTCTGACCTGCATCGGTTCCATTTCCCACACTGGCTGGAAGTAAAAGGTCGTGACCTGTGGTATTTTTACTCGCGGCCCCTCACCGTTATCGTGGGGCCCTATTTCAGGCTCCTTATAAATCCTGTTGATCCGACACACCTTCAGGAGCACAAATCCACCGCCCCGCTCCCCGTGTCCGCAGTCACATTATCTGTTCATTGTTTTTGGATTCAACACTTTCATCAAACGCTGATTGTTTCCAAACTAAAAAACGTTTTTTCTTTTATTAGGGAAGCCAAATTAAGAGTAATTGTTTTTATTATTCATTACATTGTTTTTCTTTTTAATTAGTCTACATGATTGTTTAATAGTCAATTGATAATTTTCTTATTTAGTAGCAATGTTTTGGTTTAAATGTTTTGTATTCATTTGTACATTGGAATTATTTTAATAGCTTTCAAAATCCTTTCCAATTTAGATCAACAAATAAAGATTATTATTGATGGACACATTTGGGCAAAAACCGAAAACTTCTCAACATTTTGACTTGGTAACAGAAAAGAAAATACGCGCAGTAGCAAACTGATCTGATTTCCTTTTTGTTTGTTCGTTAAATTATAATATTCACCTCAGTTGTTAAAGCTAAAATATAGTGTGTATATATATATATATATATATATATATATATTATATATATACTAACCATCTACTTCTTAGATATCCATCAAGTCATATTGTCTCTATTATTTAAAAAACATCTGCATTAGTTGTTTGCTCTGTAAACACGCGTTTGTCCTCCAGATGGGATCTACTGTCCTCGTCATCGGACCAACCGGCTGCCGTGAGTTTGTTTTCCTCTGAATCCCACAGGCGTGTTTGTTGTGTTTGTCCACCATAAAGTGACGTCTGTCTGCCGAGTGGAAGACGACACCTTATCAAGCTGTAGGGAAATTACCCCCCCCCCATAAAACAGTTGTTTTATTTCAGATGTTAGAGAACAACTGGACTGTTTCTGAGGTGGAGGTGATGTCTTCATGTAGTTAGAATGCTTTAAAGTGCACAGACACGCCATTTCTGTCAGGTTTTAATTGTATGTGGATTATTTTTCATGCCCCGTTGTTTGTTTAGTCAAATGTGTCGTTGCCTTTAATCCTATTCCTTTGCATGCTCTTCGTGGGGTGTTGGCAGACTTTCAGTGCGGCTGCCTCTCAAAGGCTCATTTTGACTTCTCGGCCTGATGTCACATCTTCTTCTTTGGTGTTTAATGATACTGTTACAAATCCACAGGCACATCAACTTTGAATTTGGCTACGACTAAAATAAAAACACTATAGTCCCTTAAAAACGTGTTGTGTGTGTGTGTGTTGAGGGGAATTCTCTGTCTCCACCACGTGGAACCCAACGTGCTCGGTCTCGGCGGTCCCTTTGAGGCGAGCTCGTCCCACCGGTCGGATGCGAGTGGGTCTGAGAAAGGGGGGTGTGAGGAGGAGTGAGGAGGTTTCTGATTTTGCTACTGAAGGGAGCATCTTATCGACTCCTGCAGTGTCCTCGCGTCCGTCAACGTGTTCGGTAACGAGCGGTTAAAATTTATGAAAAGAAAAATCAGAGATAAAGTTGAAAGAAAAAAGCACCGTAACAATCCTGGGACATAAACAATGCATTTTGTACTTAATAACAGTGAGTAATGGTGGGATCTATGTTTTAAAGAAACAGTTAGTTAGTAAAATGGTTGTAGATTTATCTAATTATATTCAATGTGTGTTGATGTTCTTCTTCGAGTTTTAGGAGTAATATTGTTTGCTGTTGGACTAACATTCTTTGAAATATGTTCAAATTGTAATGGTCCAATAGACGTGTTTGTAAAGTAAGTTAATGGTGAACTATGTTTTATTATCTTCTGTTGGATTATACAGGTACGCGCTCTTATCTAGTAGCGACCTTTATCCTTCTTCAGGCCTCATGGAGGTGTCCTGACACCTGCTTCATTTCACTGTCATGTTTGTACGTACGGAGTTCGCTATGCATCCCGATATTAGTTGATGACCTCATGAGCCCATAACTAACATCTATCACACGTTCATTTTATCTGACTTGCATCTAAATAACCTTAAAAATAGAAAAACACCATAACAATTTGAAAGGTTTGTGCCCCCTAGTGGCGGAGGCCTGGTAGAGGTGAAAATCTTACTAATTATACTTAATAAACGTCTACACACAGCTACGCGTGTAGCTACATACATTAGCCTACGTAAATATTGAAACGTATCTAAATATTATGTATTTTTCCATTTTAAAAAAAAGTGTTTCGTTTTTTATTTTATTTATATTCCCTTTTGATAAAACAGCAGGCCGATGAGTTGAATTTCTTCCTAATAAATATAATGTGAGCCCACACATAATAATAAATAGCGTGCCCATAATGTCCCTTTAAGCGCGCTCCCGGGGATGTTTGGGGGAGGGCTCTGCGGAGGAGAGGGGGGGGGGCGGCAGCGGCGGCGGCCTCATGACGCATCGCCGTTGACAGTTGTAAAACTTCCACACGCACACGCATCCAGACACACAAATACACGCGCTTTTCGCCGCCACACACTCCCGCCGAGCTGCCAGAGGAGCCTCCGCCGCTCCGAGCCTCCACCTCCGTCTCCATCTGCGCGCCGCGCGGCCTTTCTGCTGCGCGCGTCCAGCTGCGCGCAAACCTCTCGCTCCAGGCGCACCGACCTTGCGCCCCGGCAGCTTACGAAGAGGAAAAAAGAGGAAAAAAACAAAACAAAGAGAGGAATTATGTCTTCCAAGTCGGCGGAGAGCCTGAAGCTGGCGGAGGAGCAGGTCAAAGTGCTGGAGGACAGTTTCAAGAAAGTCACCCGGCACCCGGAGGGCATGACGCTCATGCTGATCGCCGCGGAGTGCGGCCTCACTGAGGAGGAAACGCTGGTGAGTGGCCGCGATGCTCCCTTTCCTTCCCTCCTTTACTCCCCGCGTGCCAACCAGCGGACAACGTGGTTAGAAGTAGGTTTTATGTTCTAATGTTGCTCAAGGGTCGTCTATTAGTCTGCGGGATGAATTGTTATTTGGCTTCACTGAGACTGACTTCTGGTGCTTACAAGTAATATTTGTTTGTAATTGATTTCTTATAGAATTGCTTTTATCGTTTTAGGCACTTTTAGAATAATCAGCGTGGCCTTTTAGGGGCTCGTGGTTCATTATATATATAATATATATATATATATATATATAATATATATATATATATATATATAATGTTTTATTACCAAATAGGAGTGACCGACTTGATATAACAAACTGAACAATTCCAAACAAACATGAAGACTACAAGTGGTACAATATGTACTGTGCGTGTGCACAGTGTGACCCTGGTCAACACATCTGCGACACATCTGTGATAAAATGTCACAGTCTGATGAGATAATCCTTGTTTATCTCACACACACAACGGAGGAGCAGCCCCCCCCCTCTCCCTTGGTCACTTTGGGCTTCAGGCTGAGGGACATTTTACACCAAACAAATCCATCATTTAGTTGAACATGATTTTTAGTTGCACCACATGTTTTGATTGCCCAACAGATTTAAGCCCAAAAGGATTGTGGAAGTGGAAACGTCACCCACTGCGGCAGGAAACCGCTTCCAGACATGAAATCCAATTCTTAGCGACAAATAAATAAAACCTCACACTATTACTTTGCTATTAGATCTTTCAGCGTTGTGGGTCCGCGTTTCTTCTCTCATCATCTGCTCAGCTGTGTACGAAAACAAAACCCAAAAAAAACCCTCGCATGTAAATTCTCTCCGAGGCAAATTTCTGTTCCGGAAGGTCTTCTTCCGCTTCAACTCGGCCGACCGGTTCCTCTCGATTCCTCCGGGATGAGGTTGACGCGGTCGCACCTCCACAGCAGCATCAGACGAAGCGATTCGTGTCGTAATGAACGTGAGGGGAAATAAAGGAGGATCTGTTGAAGCCGCCCAGGCAGAGCAAAGGCCTTCACTATTTGTCTCCTTCCGCCGAGGTTAATAATTCAGCTTCAACGTCGGATGGAGTGAAAAGGGCCCTAAGCCGGGGGCCCCAAAGCCGCGCTCCGGTGTTCGCGACTGCTTCCATTCAGCGGGCACAAAGGTGGGCGGCGCCGGGCCAACCTGCCAGGGTTCCAGGGTCAGGTGGAGGTCTGGCCTTCCATCAAAAGACCTGTTCAGCTGATGTGTTGGTTTCCCTCCTGCTTTCTTTACCCCCCCCCACCACCCCTCCCCTGTCGAGGGTTAACAAAGCTCTCATTGCAGAAGGTTTAGCTGAGGAAACACACCTCGGCCGCCGCTCCCCGCTTCACGTTAACAATGCTCACAAGGGGCCTCGGGGTCTGCGCGCCTCTCGCAGAGATTTCTAATATTTGGGTCCGTTCCTGCAGTGAGTTGAAGGTGGAGTCGAGTTTTAAAAGACTTTGTTGTGTAATTCAGTAAAAATGATTCCACAAGCACCACGTGGCTCAGCTTTATTAAGTCTCACTGTGGCTCAGACAAGATCTTCTGCACATGAGCAAAGCGCAAAAGCAAAATGTGAACCCTGCATCGTAAAACCGAGCTACCGTTAATATAAAATCCCCCCAAATGCAGACGCCAAGTTCGCATAACGTTCGTCGAAGTCATTCAGTCTTGAGTAAAAAACCAGAACCTCATGCGTATTCTTTACCGAGACGGGTCGTCCCGCTCGGAGGGCCGGCGTCCCCAATCCCTCCCTCTCCGCCCTACGGCGTCCTCGATGATGTCAGCGGTGTTGTGAATCCCTTGACAACGAGAATCGCAACACCGCCACGTGTGTGTGTGTGTGTGTGTGTGTGTGTGTGTGTGTGTGTGTGTGTGTGTGTGTGTGTGTGTGTGTGTGTGTGTGTGTGTGTGTGTGTGTGTCGAGGTCCGCAGCACCGTCATCATCTGGTCAGGGTTCCACAGAGCAGCCTGTGAAAGTTGGATGGAAACATTGTTTTTGCGGAGCTGGAGGGTCACGGCCTGAGTGACTCCGTGACGTCACACGCGTGCACCGAGAAACGTGACCGAGCGCGGCCACAATGGCTCTCACTCAGAGGGTCATATTTGAGGTTTCCTATTGTTTATCACTATGGCGACAGAAGGAAAAGTAGTTCATCCATAACCCTTTAATCCAGTCAACCTTAACGCATTATTGTGACGGGATCGGCCTCATCTTTAGCATCCTGAAATGCATTATTTTAACATGCTAACAGTAGCGTTAAAATGCTAAATGTTAAGAAGTTGAATGTTGGGTTGAATTTGACTGTTTCCACGGATGTAAACATGCAAACGGTAGAATTCTACATGGCTATCAGCTCAGGTTTTGGTGTCTCGCGTGTCTCTAGTTGGTCTCCGGTTGGCCCTCGGCCGTCGGTGGTCGTGGAGTCGTTGTGCGTAAATGTAACCGGACGCCGGGTGAAGCACAACAACGCACCTCGGGGACTCCACCTGTGCACGTACTCTGCCAGCCGGGACCCGTGACCTCATCGCTCTCGTGTTTCAGGCCCGGGCACAGCGCGTCCCGTGTCCTCCAGTACGTCCAGCCGGGCGCGACGCTGATTGTTTCTCTCTGTTTGTTTGTGTTCCCCAGAAATGGTTCAACATACGCAACCAGCAGTGGAGGCAGGAGGAGGGACTTCCGGCTGAACTGGGATCAGTGTTGGACTGACGCCGGCCTTGCTTTTCTCCTGGACAAACTGACCCCCGCCCCCTTGTCTCCTCATGTACCCCCCCCCCCCCCCATTCCCTCCACATGTCATTCACATGTTCTATCTATGAAGCTATTTTAACTTACTGTACTGAGTGTGTAGGTGTTTGTGTGAAACAGCCATGTCTGCAGAAATAAAGACATTATTAGAAGTGGAGGGAGGACTCGCGTGTGGATGCTGAGTCATGCTGCGCGTTGCACTGGGCACGGCTGGCTTTTGTCTTTTGGGGGCTTTTGCTCACACGCATGTCTGTCGGCGGGGAGCGGACTACAAAAGGCGTGAGGAAGCATCACAATGGACGCTGCTGGAATCAGCTGGCCAACCAGGGACGCTCCGGAACATTTCCAGCCGTTGAGGGAGGAAGAAGAGGAGGAGGAGGTGAACAGGTGATGTCATTCCGTGATCACTCTTTGTGAAACAGGACGTGACCTCAGCGGCCGGCGCGTGCTGAAAGTATTCTGCGTCGTCCTCACCGTCGAAACCAGGGGAGCTCGACAGAAACCAACTCCGACCCAACAGGTCGTTCCACTACGCGCTAAGAACACCCGCTGCTTTTGATGGCGCTGTCGTGACAGCTTGTTTAAACAGGCGTGTGCTCATTAAGTATCACATTAGCATTCACGTGCAGGGCCACACGCACACACACACACACACACACGTGCACGCACACAGGGTGGTGTCTGTTTCCTCAGCTTGCGTGGGGGAGTTTTCATCTGTTCAGCTGAAAAACAAGTATTTGTTTATATTGCACACACACACACACACACACACACACACACACTCGGTGGCTCTGGCTCACTGGTGAACCACACACATTTTATTCCAGACCTCGACCCTTTCCAGCTCATGAATCACGGTTTGCTTGAAACCGCTGAATTCATACACGCGTCGGATTGGTGTTGAAAATGATCCTGATGCTGCGCAGAAACCTGAATTGAAACTCAGGATTTGACGGGTTCTCAGAGAACAACTGATGCTCGTTCCCCGTCTGGATTAATGACGTTACATTTGATCTCATCTCATTGACCGTAATTAAACTTTTTTTTCCAATTGAATTATTCCAGAAACATACGTTCTTGCTGCGCAGTAATATTGTGATATAGGACCATGTTTACAGGACGTATGAATGGGAGCGGCGGTAAAAAGGCCCTCTGGGCGTCAGCGTGCGCGCAGCATGTCAATGCGCTGCGGTTTTGTGCGTTGCTGAGAGGAATCTGCAGAGCCGGCAGGAATCTGCCTCCTCGGAGCCGCCGGGATCCGTCTGATTGACAGTTGACTGACAACCTGCAGGATCCTTTTCACTTTTTCAGCATAACTTTACGAGGCCTTATACCACACTGTGACTTTTTATACTTCCTATGTTGAGACTTTTTGGGCTAACTACTGTTTCATGTTTTTTCAAACAAGCTATACTAGGATTTTTTTCAAGATTTTAATGTAGAACTAAAGCCTACAAATAAACATTAAATCAAGATAATTCTCTAATATTTCTAAAGAAACATGAGATTGCTCATTACTGGTTTTACATGCAGTAACTTGGTTTGATTTAATCATTGAAAGTTTATCACTGTTTAAAGCAGGAATTCATAAAAAACGCGTCCATATATGTGAAGGCTGATTGTCTGACAGCCGTGTGGTGACGTGAGTTTGTGTTGGTTTTCCTGTGTTCGTGCACAACATCCTGTGACAGCAAAGAGACACCGAACCAAACCAGAGTGCAGAGAAACAAGCGCCCTCAATGTTTGTTTCTCACGTTAATCATGTAGACAAAACCTGATCTAGAACAATCATTTAAAACGCTTTATTGTTGGAATCTGGTGCTCGTGTGGCAGACACACAATGCTCGATGGGGAGAAACATTTAGTAAACATCGCTGACCCATAAAATGACTAAATATGCTTCAGCCCCACCTGGTTAGCCAAATAAGCCTTTGTTTGGTTAATGCTCAGCTCATTTTCAGTCTGCATGCCCCACCCTCCACCTCCTCCTCCACCTCCTCCACCACCACCTCGGTCCCCAGGTCATGATGGAGGAGAGCTGATCCAGATTATCCTCACAGCGGCATATCCTTTCAATCTCCTTTGATGTCTAGCCGAGTCCTGCAAGGCCACAGACCTGCGCTGATCTAAAGCCGCCCCCCCCCTCCTGACCCCCATAAACTGACCATTTCCTCTGGTTCACTCATTCCAGGCTGAAGGGGATTGCGAACTGAAGCAGTGGCACTTTCTGTAAACCACAGTGCAGGAGATGTGACCTCTGCAGGCGCTCCTGAAGTGACTCTTTGTGGAATAAAGAGTGAAGCGTCGCGGCCGACGAACATCTGCTTCCAATAGAGAAGTTCAAAGAGCTGGAGAGGAAGCGGTAAAACTAACGTAGGAAAACCGACTCTTTAAAGGCTAAAATACCTACAGAGTAAAAGTCTGAGGGTGGACACACGTTTGATATCCAGCTGAACTGCAAAAGGGAAAAACAAACCTGTGGCGCGTCGACGTGCTTTTATTGCCAACATTATTCATCTTCTCTGCAGATTTATTCAAAGGTTCTGGGCTGAAATCCATCGATCTGTCACATTCTAGCGTCGCCGTCCAAACCTCAAGGTTCTATACACATGGAAACAATATCAACAGACCCACACAGCCGTGGGTTGCTTTCTTTCTTTGGGAATTTAAACATATGTAATGCGTTTTTAATCTTTGTACTTTCTTACCCTCATCATGGGCAAGAGTTTGTGTTTGCTTATGTAGTTCTGTTCTTTATTGGTGATTGTAATTTTGTTATCAGAAGAATGATCTAAAACGTATTATTTCTGTCTGCAAACAAACACTACATCTCGACGAGAAGCTAAAAACAATGAAGAGGAGAATCTTTGGCGTAATCGAGCACCAACAGAAGGTAAATGTCCACGAAGCTCATCCACGCTGTGGTTCTTTCGCTGACTTGGCGGTGACGGTGTTCCTGCTCCACCCGGGCTCTCGCGGAGGGACGTAGCCCTCGGAAAGCCGCTTTGGCAACGCCAACATTTCGAGGCGAGCGCTCGCCGTGGCTCCCATCGCCGCCTTCGAAACCTGGTCATCAGGGATTCAGACATTTAGCTTGAAGTTTTACTAAATAAGCAAATCAAGAAAAAAACAAACAAACATTTAGCCTCGAATTCTGGTCTTAACCAACGTTAATCACGTTGCAACACGTTCAAGCAAAAGATCTTTTGTCACGGTACTTTTCAATGTGAGTTTACCTCATCAAAATAAAGAGCCAGCTGATGACAGTAATTGGAAAAGCACACAATTAACTGAAGGTGAACTGGTGAAAAACAGCTGGAACACATTTCATTCGACTGATGTCACGAGTTTCCTCCACGCGCGCTGGAAAAGTGACTTTGGAGAACGCCTGAGCGGAACGTCTAGCAGGCAGAGGAAGCGCTCACGGTCCAGATCGGTTCCGCCGGGCGGCCGAGCCGGCGACAGGCGTCGCCCCCCCGCAGCCGGGGCAGAGAGAGCCGGACCAGCCGCTGAGAGGGCCGGGCCGTCTGGGAAGACAAGGAAACCACGGACGCGGCGCCCTGCGGGGGACACAGGCACTTTGAAAAAGACCCCCACCACCTCCCAAAAAAAAGGTCCATGCGAGTGCTTCTGGGTCTCACCTCGCTGTTGCTCCAGAAGTCCGGATGGTTCCGCTTGGGGTCGGCGAGCCGCAGCAGCCGCGGCGTGATCACAGCGGGTTTGGTGCCGGCGTCGAGGTGCCAGATGGGACCGTTGTTGTCACACGGAGGTGTGTGTGGAGGCCTGTCGGGACCAGCAGGGGACATGTTGATAACGTGTCTTCATGGGGTCGATTCCTTTGCGTCTTTACCCTGAGCAGCTCTGTGTTTGAGTGCACAGTTAGTGTTTACCACATCGGGAGACACGGACATTAAATAAAAGAACAAATAAATCAAAAGCTTTAAGATTCGTTTTGTGTGCTTTAACGTATATTAAATAGAAAAAAGAATATTGATTATATATATATATATTGCTAATAGAGACATTTTTAAATACTAGTCCTATAAATACTTTAAAATGTTAGCAGCCATTAAATAGTACTAACTGATTCCTTTATATCCATCTTTATTTATTATCCTTCTGTGTTTTTTTGGAGCAAGAAGGTGAGAGGATTAAGTTTGTGCAGCTGGTGATACACATTTGTAGGGCGTTAAATAATAAATAAATTTAACAAAAAAAGAAGCAAAATCAACCACTCAATCTGAATTACAAAAGCAGATTCCTCTTGTGTGCTGCGTGCAGAATGTTCTCCCTGTATGAACCTCAATGTTCTGCTGCTTATAAAAAGACTTCCTGTCTGCGAGCGTCCCGGGGGACATGCGCTTTGGACAATGAGGTCCATTGTAGCAGATGTCCAAACGCCGGCTTCCTCACACGCCGTTACTGTTGGACCGGAGCCGCCGCTTCTCAGTTTTAACAATATGATATTTAATCTCCCTCAGATGAAATCCAAGACTTTGCCTGTTGTTTTTAAGTCACACATGTGACATGGAGGTCTAGTGGAGATCAAAATAATGTTGTTTTTTAGCAGAGAAAAGCGAATTGAAATTCAGCCACCAGTGATTTGCACGGCGCTCTTAGTCAAGTTACATTTAGAGGCGGCAACTAATATTTTCTTACACATTTATTTCTGAGAAATGTCGTTTTGGGTTGAACAAAGTCGAAAGAACTATTTTCAGTTCTATAAACCAGAACGTTATTTGCTTGATGAATAACTTTTGAATCAGTGGGGCTTTTACCCGGCGTCCCGGGAGCCGCCGCTTCGGGTTCTGGGTGCCGACAGGCGGACAAAGCGCTCGTACCGGGACGCCTCGGAGGAAGGACGTCGGGTCTTCCTGGAGAAGCTCGCCTCCTCCTTCCTGCAGGAGAATGGAGGCCATTACCACATCCATTAATGCCTCGGGACAGAAGAATGTCTTGGGGCAGAAGGAAAGAGGAGGGCGACAAAACAATAGAGTCAGTGCTGATGAGACATACGAATGGAAAAATCAGCTGAACCCACAAAAAGCATTACGTCACTACGTCCCGTGGACGTCTATTTGTACAGTGGAGTCTGAGCTGAACCTTCATGACTCCTAGGATTTTGCCAGACAAGCACTGAGTAAAGCTATTAGGAAGTATTCAATATTCTCGCTGATGGTCTTGTCTACTTAAGAAGGTCACAACGAGACACTTCATTCCACTGAATAGGTCATCTTTTTTGCTACAGCTTTTCAATTGTGACAATACTCTTTTTCTGGATCTTATGTCCATCTTTGTCTTTGCGGTGCTGCTCTGGTGCAGAAAAGGTCTCTAAAGAACTGGTTTGTAATGAAAACTTCACCCATTATGATCATTATTGTCAGCTGCTGCAGCCTCACATCCAGTGGAAGCTGCTGCACGGAGGTATTACACCAACTGTCCCCCGGATAATCAGATTAGCAGGCGGAAGACACGGCAGAGAGATTTGATTAGAATGAGGAAAAGCAGCGTAATCATCATCATCATCATCATCTAGATGAAATATTCTAACTAAATCGATATGAACCAAGCCAGTGAATACGAACTGAGTGTATTCTGCAGCTCCGGAGCGCCATCTAGAGTGACAGCGAATCGGTATCGTTGGCTCCTGCTGGGCTTCTGATTGAATTACGCTTCACGTCGCTGTGCTTTCAACCGGAGAAGAACAGTAGCCTCTGAGGAGCCGCAGCTCGTCCACCAATCGATTCCGACGGGGCCGATCGGGACGCCGCTCAGCTGTCGGATCGGCCCTGTGACAGAAGAGCCATCACCCCCATCATCACCCGCCCCCCCGCCGCGGCTCCCAGCAGTCATCAGTAATGTTAGTTACCTCCGTTGGTCCTCCCTTACTGAGAAGTCTCTTTTGTGCCTGGCCAGGTGTTGGATCCTCGCACTTGGAACGGCTCCGAGTGCCGCGGCAGAGGGGGGGGGCCATATGGGCTCCTGGGTGCCCCAGCTCAGCTTCCCGCTGATCAACAAGTAGAAGGAAGGATACTTTGCAATCAGAGGCGACCTGCTGTTCATTCGGCCTTTGTTTCTACACGGTGACATCTGCCTCTTATTACGCAGAAGAAGAAGAAGAAGAAGAAACCGGGATGCAGGACGTACAACCTCTTTGTTTTTAAACGTGCGGCTGATTCATAAACCAAGGGGGAGAAACGTGGTCGGACTCGGCTGCTCACCAAGGAGTCGTGGCCCAGACGGTTTTTGAGGTTTTGTGCCGCGCCAGCTCCGAGACTCTGCCGAGAAAACACAAATCGGCTCTGAATACGAGTGGCGGTCGGAGGCTGGTGTCATTTGTGAGCAGTATATAAACATGAAATACAATCGTTATAACACTTGAAGTATTGATTAAAGAGCATAAACCATTGATTATTATTTGAAAACATTTTATATAATTCATCCTATTTATACTGCAGAATACAGTTATGGATTAACAGAACGTTGTGAATTACTACATGAAATGAAAAAGACTACATTTCTCTTGTCGGGGGGGTATCTACTCATTATTTTTGTACATATCTATAATGCATTAAGAGTGTAAAGTGTTGGATAAAAGATTGACTATGAAACACATAAAAATAATGAGTAAGCAAGTAGAAACATGCCAGTTTGTTTAGTCATTATTTTCTAAACATACTTGGTCAAATGTTTGCAGAAAGAAATAAAAGGTTGCTGTACCGTTTTGACGGACCAAATCCGGAGTGAAGACCTGCCAAAAAAAAAAAGATGAAGAATTTAAACTGAATATATAAAAGTATGATAAAGGCCATAATTGTTAAACTTACCTGGTTTCCCAGAGAACATCTCACCTTGCAGCAGGTTGGATGTGTCGCTTCGCCGGCAGTGGCACGCGGATCTCCTGGCGTTGCCATGGAGCCACGAGTCCTCAGCGACCGACATTACACCCGAGACGCCTTGAAACTGGAGCGCGCACGCCAAAGACGTTCATGTCCCGGCCTCAAGACTCCCGTCGGGATACAGCGATAGGAGATAAACCCTCGCAGGAACTTAATTAGTTATGGAACCACGTGGTCACAGGTTCAAATCTCAGGTACTAAAAAAAAAGTCCACACCAAATAACTTAGTCAAAACGATTTATTTAAGTCTGAAAAAAGTGTACATAAGACTGTTGAGCAACACTGTATATTAGACATTTCTAGACAAGTGTAACATGTGAACTTTCGCCCTGAAGTTACCGGATGATTAATTAAGCAGATCTCACTAAAAAAAAAAAAAAACTGCATTTAGCAGCAAAATAAATTAAACATTTATTTTGAGACGCTCCTTTCAATGAACGTGTCATAAACCGTTTTAAAGCTTTAAAGACAACGATACAAAGTGATTTGGTAGTACTAAAGCGTGCAAGTTTGGTGACTATTTATTTGCTCATTCAATAAGAAATGCCAACAGTATTTACTTCACAGCCGTGTTGGAGCTGCGCTTTATTATGTTTTATAGTTTACATGTCATCACAACATCAGAAGGCTCAACTGCTTCGGAGTATCTTAGTAAGTAGGTTTGACCTGTTTGACCCCGGCAGAAAGAGCCAACAGTTCCAAGAGCGTAAATACCCAGAAGTCCTGATTCGCACCATCGCTGACTGTGTCAGACTGAGACGCCAGCCTGGTTTTTAGTACTTTGTATTGACCTTTGCTCAGTGTATTCAATATTCTGTGGACCGAGAACAGCCCTGATTAACTTAACTAATTTACTCTTACTTACTAAAAAAGTTTTACACTTTAAAATCCAGAGTCTTTACCAAAGGACAAAAGAAATATTCACTTTTTCTCATAAATAAACAGGTGGCTGTCGTCAAAGTGGAAAAGCTGCAGAGAACCTGCTGTCGCTGTGCGCCGAGAACCCAGCGGGCCGAGAGAGAGAGAGACGGTTTCTATCTGCCGTCACAAACCATCTGCATGATCAGGTCCCGGGCGTCCTGGACGCCGGAGGCGAGCTCCGCCCGGCCCCTCCCCACGTGGGTGCCGATGAGGAACAGGCGGCGGTCACCGGCCTCGGACAGAGAGAGCGCGTCGTGGAGGTCGGTGATGCCGCAGCTTCCTGGGAGGTCCTGGAAACACGAGTGAAACGCTTTAATCCTCCCCCCACTTTTACTGTATTTTAGGAGGGATTTTCCATTATTTTCTGACTGATCAACTGATCCAATTATTATATTTTAAATTATTGATATATGTATATTGATAATATTGAGTCTCTATTGCAACCGTGCGAACTCCTTCCAGCACCAGAGCCCCTCGCCCACGTGGGCTTTCGTCAAAAGCGGCGTGGGGTGTTTGTTCTCCCCCTTTTGAGCTCACCTGTTTGTTGGCCAGAACCATCAAAGGCAGACGAGGCGCGGACGCCAGCAGCTCGTGCAAATGCTGCTTAGCGACGGGGAAAAGCGCCGGGTTGGCGGAATCGACCACGAACACCAGCAGCAGGGCCTTGGACAGGTACCTCCCCCAGTAGGGCCGCAGCGCCTCTTTGCCTCCAACTGACAGACAGATAGACAGACGTCCAACTCGTGACAGACTTAAAAAAAAAAGAAAGAGAGTCTCTTCTCTTCAGATCAGACTCACTCTCCAGGAACTCGATGCGCAGGTCCTCCCGGCTGATGGAGACGGCGTTGAAGCCCTCCGTCGGCTGCACGTCCTGCTCCAGGCACCCGGTGGAGAAGCAGTGCAGCAGGCTGGTCTTACCGGCGCCGTCCAGACCCAGAACCAGCACCTGGGTCCCCGCGGCGGACCACCCGGCCTCAGACTGCTGCACAGATTAAAGCCGGGTACTAGCAGCGTTTTTGTGTGCTGGTTCTTTAAAAAAAGATACGTTTACAAGCGGGAAGTTGCCACGCGTTAAGAAAAGCCCCCATTTCTAAATATAAAGATGGCCTCTGCAAAGACGTTTTAGGTATTTGTAAAACAAAGTGAGAGCAATCTGCATTCAAACTGCTTATAATTTAAACTGGGACTATTTTTTTAATAAAAATGATCACGGTGAACTTGTTGCAAAAAGAAGTATACCACTTTAAGCACAAGCATGCACACTTGTTTGCATCAACTTTCTTCAAATGGCATGTTTTTAAGGGTCAGTAGCAAACATTTGTTTTAATCTAAACAATCTGCAGAATGAGGAAAACGTGTTAGTTGTTGAGTTTTCATGTCCAATCACTATTTGGTTGCGTCATTTGTTATACGATTAGTGCCGCAATGAACGAACTATAATTTATGATATAAATTGTATATAAAACGGGTGTTCTCTGGTCGGCTTTAGGGTGCTGCGTCATGGTGCAAGTCTTAACCTTTACCCAAATAAGGGGAAAGTACTTAAGCGTGTTCAGTTCCATCCCGCCCGGGTCCAAACGAAAAGCTATTGACGTCCACCAAAGAAAACAGAATCTTTAAAAGTTTCTTTCTACGACACCAACGGAAGTGGTGTCCCCGTAAATTACCTCCGATGAGTCCCCGCGTTCCGCAGCGACCGGCGGCACCGCGGCGACGGGAACCACGGGGGTCGGTTCTGTCGCGACGCCGCTCCTCCTCCTCATCATCTCCTCCTCCTCTTCCTCTTCGGCGCTTTTAACGTATTTCTCCACCCGCGTTCGGGGCTTCGTCTCCCCGGAGGAGGACGCGTAGCTCCAGAAGCAATACGCGACTCCCCCCGCGACGGCCAGCGAGGCGCCGACGACCCCGGCATTCCTCAGACCGAACATGGCGCTTCAACCGCCCGGTCCCTCTTTTGTTCGGGCCCGCTTCTTATCCGTCAGCTTCCGCCATTGTGGAAGTTTCGGTGAAGCTTTTGTGTGTGTGTGTGTGTGTGCGCGCGTGTTGTTGAGCTCTCCTTCCTCCGCAGCTGCTCAACAAGTGGATTAATCAACGGGCAGGAAGCGCCTCCGACCGCTACTTCCGGGTCCCACTGCGCAGTGTTGTCGATGCGCGGTCGCGTCCCCCTGAACCCAAGTGACACCTGATAAAAACGGGAGAACATTTTGTCACAATTGCTTTGATGACATTTACATTTCATGAATAGATTAATAAATATCATAATCCATGTTTTAAATGCATACATTTTATTATGACAGTCTGAACCCACGTGCGTCGTCCTCTTTGTTTACCTTTTTCTCACGCCGCCATGCTTTGGTCCACCGCATTGTTACTGTCTTGTTAACACAAATAGCGGATCAGCCAATCACACGAGGCCGCAACGCAACACGTTGGTCATGTAGACGCAGAGAAAAAAAAGACAATGAAGGAACATCTCTTGATACAGTTTAATACGGGAGCTGAGAACAGCATTGGAGGGAAGTGGGTATACGGCTGCAGGGAAAGACCAACTATGCAACGCTGTGTTCAGACAAGAAGTCGAGGACATTATTTGTAAATTCTTTAATATGATTTGAGGGGCGGGTGTAATGCAAAGGTAAAGAGCTACTGCTGGCAATTACAGACCAATAGATCTGACATCCCATATGTGCAATTGGATGGAATTCATAATCATGCGCATTTAACTTTTTTTTTCCCAAACGAGGTCTGAGAAAACAGTTTAAAGGAAATTCCTGCTATGGTTTAATTTGATATATAGAAAGCATATGACTCCATGTGGAGAGAGACTTCCGGTTAAAATATATAAAAAGTGGTTTGGTATATGTAGAACTTAGATTTTCTGACTGGCAAACTTTGCGGTTGTAGGAGACACAGCCCAGGTCCTCTGAAGAATGCAGCCCACTAATTGAGACACGGCCACGGGTATTTTTACTGCATCTGGACTCGGTCGGCCCGGTCGAGAAAAGAAAGCAACTTCCAGTGCTGAAGGTACTTAAAGCTGCATTCTCTTTAATGTCAACCAGGGGGCGACTCCTCTGGTCCTTTAGAAGTTCATGACACAATGACTACTTCTCTCTTGACTCATTTCAATCTATAAATACTTTGCACAAGTAGTTGCACAGAGTTGCACAACAGAACAAGTAGCTGGAGCAAAAACAAGGTGAAAGTATGAAACGCTTTTATTAATCCAGTTCACTGAAAACAACTGAAGTGTTCAAACTTAAAATGACCTGGAGCACAAAAACAAACTAAACCTTACAAACAGGTGCCTGATGAGGCTGATAGATAAGAACAAATACGAAACCGAAGCTTAGTGAGAGAACCAGGTTAGCACTAACTAGCACAAACTAAAACCCATCACGGTTTGAAAGACGCCGCCGCCGCCCGGTTGTACCACCTCACCGGCGACCTCTCCTGCGTCTCGGGGACGCTGAGGAGCCAGGCCTGGAGCTGGCACTGCTCCCGGGTCACCCCGAGGCTCTTCCTGGTGCGGGCCCTCAGCGACGGAGGCCTCCTGCGCCTCTGGGTCGCGACCTCCCGGACCTGCTCGGCCCCCGAGCAGGAGGACTCCGCCGTCTCGGCCCGCCCTCTGGACTTGGACGTCTCCTGGAAGTTGCTGTAGCTCTTCTGTTTGATGGAGGACAGGAGCTGGGCCCTGCTGCTGCTGTACTCCGCCTCGGTCTGCTGCTGCTTCTCCTCCTCATCATCATCGTCGTCATCATCACCGGAGTTCTTCTCTTTCTTGACCTGGGAGAAAGTCTTCTGCTGCCAAGTCATGAACTCCGACATGCAGTCTCTGAGGCGGGACGTGAAGTCCGGCTGGGTCGTGGTGACCTCGCAGCTGACCTCCACCGTGGCCGCCTTCAGCATCTCGTACTGGCCCTGGACGTTGGTCAGCTCCTCCAGCACTTCTGCAGAGGAGAACTCCTGGACGGCCGTGGTCCTCCCGAGGAACCCGGGGCAAAGACTCTCCTTCTTTGCCTTCTTCTGCTTGTGGAAGGTGAGAAAATGTGGCATGGCGGCGTAGTGGATGGCCTTGTCGAAGACAAGCTTTCGGAAAATGTACACAACATCTTGGTGGCCGGAATCCACCGAGTCCTTGACAAACTTCTCCACCACGGGCCAATCCCTCACAGCCAGTCGGAGCTTCACAGGTGGACTTCCAGGTTGCGTGTGGTACAGAGCAAACATCAGGTACAGGCCTCCCACTCGGATCTGGTAGCTGTACGGAGGCAGGAAGTACTTCACGGCCGTGGCCAGCGCCACTCGGGAGAACCTCTTGATTTCCGCCACGTTCGCGATGCCCCTGAACACATCCGAGAAGACCATCTCCCTCCAGATGGTCGAGAAGACCTCGTACCTGACGGAGTCAGTCTGCTGGTAACGCGCCAGCAGTTCCTCCACATCTTCTGTCAGAGGACTGTAGAAGAAGTCGGTGTAGATTGGCCGCACGCGAGGCATCCCGACGCCCCCCCCAAAAAACAACGAGCCGGTGAACAGCTTCTCGGTCTGAAGGAGCTTCTGAACGGGTTCCAGCCAGGTGAGGCTCGTCATCGGCTAATTGCCGGAGAACCACGGCCAGAAGCGGACGGAGTCAATTAGCGGGGATTGCGGGGTGCGTTCAGGGGAATAACGGGAGAAATGAGAACGACAGTTGGGCTGTAATGGTTGGCTGGTAAATTAGCTCGCTGGAGAAATTCCGACATGCACGTGAACACACCATCAGCACGAGGTGTTGTGCGGTTTTCCTCCTCTGGGGGGCGCTGTCCTTCAGTCTGACTAACAGCTGTGATGCGTTTACAGACTCCCGATGGAAGTCGGTGGATGGAACGTGAAGCATTGACAGACGCAGGGTGAACGGGATATATTTCCCTTGGTGGGAATTAACTTCATAAAAAAATAATTATTATCCCCAAAGGTTAAGTCACCTTTGGTGAAAGAAAGAACGCAATGTTGGACAATTTACCAAAAGCCTCTTTCAATAAACTGTCTAGTGGTTCGCTCCCTCCTTTCCTTTTAGTATTCAAAGGTTGAGGGAAAACAGGTTGGAAGATGATCAAATCTTTTCAGTCTCACATTACTCATAAAAGGTCACTAAACGAGACCGACCCCATTAAGTGCTCAAGGTTTTAGAAGAACGATTAAAACATTGCTGCGACCTTGAAGATTGTTTTTACACATCTGCTTTTATTATGAAAATGAAGATACTTCCTATTTGAAAGTATTTTTTAAATAGTTTAAAATGTTAAGTTAAAACATTTCAATCATCAAATAACAAGTATCAATGTACCATGTTAATCTAGTTCAATATTATATGAATAGCAGGGCTCATGTGTCACTGTTCAAGAGTTTTAATAAGACTGAAAAAATGAGATCTATCTTAAATACAGACCAACACAGGGACTCAAAAATATTCTTCATCGCAGCTGATTGAAAGTAAAGGAACAATTTAAGGAAATGTGAAGCAAACAGCCAGAGTATGATATCATAATACTCCGACCCAAGAAATATTAAAAACGACTCTACCAAAAATAAAGTAGTTTTCCTAACGTCATAATTAAAAATGTTGGAGAATGATGCAAAATGAAAATGAACCAACCAAATGTTTGCGATGTCAGGAGGGACATGAATCTTATGCCATCTGAATCTCTATTCATTAGAGGTTGAACTTTGCAGCACCAGATAACCAAGAAATGTCATTATTCTGACCTTTAATGAAAAAAAGTGTCAATATCTGCTGTTTCACTGCGACTTGGAAAGATCAAAAGTAAAAACCAAAACACTGCTTTTGCAGAGCAACCAAGATGAACTCCAGTGGAACTCTTTAAATTCTCTTTTGTACTGAACGCAAATTAAATGACACAAAAAAAACAGGAGACTCTTCTGGTTTCACATATTTAAATGAATAACCAGGACAAAAAGTCAAATTGAACTAAAAACCAACAGTCAGCGTTTCCCGCCGCCCCCCCTCTACCAGCCTCCTTTGCCCCCCTTCTTTTTCTTCTGTGGTGCCTTCTTGCGCGTGGCCCCCGAGGCCGCAGGCTTCTGCTGTCGCGGGGGGACCACGTTGCTAGCGGGGGCCGCAGAGGAGCCAGACGCAGACCCTGGTCTGGGGGAAGTAGGGGGGCTGCTGGCCGTCTTACTGGCATCACTGAAACAGAAAAAACATCGGATCGTCCTGGGAACATTTTGCACATAAGTTCACCCTGAAACAAGTGTGTGATTGATGGTAAGAAACACGAAACCAGGAGCTGCTCAGCCCAGGAAACAACCGGTCTTCATGCTGCGCCGGGCCGACGGTCAGTGGATTTGTATTTAACAGACAGACTTCCTGCGAGTGGCGTCAATCCCGTCCTCTCAGAAAACAAAAGCTTAAAAGACTTGGTCAAACTACTCACAGCTCGGCCGACGCTCCTGCCGTCGTTCCCTGTGTGCCTTTCCCGATCTGCTCCTTCTTCTTCCCCTTCTTCTTGCCTCGGTAGTAGGAGCGCTCCTTCATGGGCAGCCACCTCTCCGGGTCAGGGGTCGCTTTGGGGTCACAGTTTTTGGGCAGTTTTCCTAAAAAAATTCAAATTAAATCAAAAATATATGAGGAGATTGTGATGTGGTCTTGATCCTGAAAAGCATCTTGTAGAAGATCATTCATATTTCTATACATTACACCCACATTTTATATATGTATTCATTTCTACTCTCGGCCCAAAGAGGTCAAAGTGCCCAGAGACTTTTTCAATAGCAGTTATTTGTTTAACTTGAATCCACACAAAGATCAATGGCATACCTCTCTTCTTCTTCTTCTTCTTCTTGATCTCGCCTTCCTGGCTGTAATGAAAACGCCGATGTGTTAGCATAGAGGGGTTGACAGTGAGGCCACAGAGGATCGTGTCCTGAACGTCATCGAGCCGATGAAGAAAGAAATGAGGTCTACGTTTGTTCTTTGGGCGCGTTTTCTCCGGTGACTTTAGCCGCTTTTTTCCTGATGTAGGTGGCTGCGATGGAGTTCTCCAGCTCGTCCACATCCACCTTTAAGGCCAGCATGTCGACGGATGGAAGGTGCTTGCTGAGGCTGGAGAGGGACGCTGAGGAAACAACTGCTTTACATTTCAAATGGACACACTTGATTTTTTAAAGGTAACTTTGTGAATATGTTCGCTGGCGGTCGCTTGGTCGTCCAGCTGCGGCCTGATTAACGTACCTAAACTAACAAAAGGTCCAGACCAGAAACCTTTGATCGCATTAAGAAAAAAGTCAAAAGGACGTTACAATCAGGCTCTGAATAAATTCATCCTGTGTAACCACTATAAATATGTTTCATTACTTTATACCTCTTAAAATACCCGTTGTGATTTGTTTCTTTTAAAGCACTTTGAGCGACTCTTTATGAAAGGCACAATATAAATAATACTATTTTAGTATTATTTTTACCTTCATTATGTCTTTTGAATAGAGTCTATGGCGTGGTTTTCTAGGGCTGCACCTAACAATTATTTAATTCAATTAAGATTGAAAGAAAAAAAAATCATTTTGTATTTAAAAAGTAAAATAAATTGGTCCCAATTGGTTGTCTTGTTATACCATTTATATTTCAAACATGAACCCAAAACAAAAATATTTGAGTGACATATGTCTGAATCAGCTTCCCAAAACGGTTTCTAGGAAAACTAGCGTCTTCAGTTTCAGTGGATCCAAAAGGATACGATTTGGCTTTATCCGTGTCCACCAGAGAATACGCCGAGATGAGTTGTGCCAGTGTGTGGATGTCGTTGGTGTTTTGCCTGTTTCAGGTAAAAATGAAACAAAGTGAGCATCACTGATTAAGCTTTGTTTACACTCAAATGCATGAATGCATGATTCCATTCACAGCAAGTCGACGTTTCATCATCTTTTCTGCTCTATAAGCCAACCGGGTTTGCTGGAAACAAAACTCTAAATCGCAGCTGTAAAAATGGGCCCTAACTCACTTCCACAGCTGCTCCAGATCACTGATTGCTTCTTTTTTCCGGCCGTACTTCAGTTTGTAGTTGGCAGCTTCTCGTACAAGCGCCAAGTGTACAGCAGATCCGGGCTGTGGAGGAGCGAGAACACACACATTACACACACACACACACACACACACACACACACACACACACACACACACACACACACACACACACACACACACACACACACACACACACACACACACACACACACACACACACACACACACACACACACACACACACACACACACACACACACACGTTGGCTTCTCAGAGGAAAGCTTTACCCACAGACAAAACTACAGGAGGCCGTTGTTCTCTATTCTTTGTTTGGGTGCAAAAACAGGAACGGTTTTGACACTTTAAGTTCCTGGAAGAGCCCTTTTGTTTCCCCGAGTGAGCAGAAGCACCAACAGAAAGCTAAGCCACGGGACACGGACCTGTTCCGTCTGGTAGTGCTTGATAGCTTGTTTGAAGACCTCGATGGCGCTGTCGATGTCTTCTTCATGGGAGTACATCGTTACCAGAGCGGAAACCTGAGCAGGCGACAGCGTTTACGCGTCAGAGGGGACTGAAATGACAGCGCGAGTGACAAAACGGCGGCGGCCCAGACTCACCATCCCCGATTTGTGCTTGAACTCTTCAATGGACCTCAGGACATCGCAAGCTTTCGTCACGTGACCTGAGACACAAAACAGTATTACAACACAAATGGCCACCATGTGACCTTATGCAAGTTATTTACATTTTACAACAACTATAAAACCGCATGAACTACTCTGCTGAACAACGCGACCTGCTTTCATTTCTCAAAGATGTGTTTGTTAAAGCTGGAACATTCTTAACTAACATCCTGTGAAGACATTAAAGCGTAATCATTGGTAAACATGCAATCACCTTGAATTAGATACAGTTGCGCCATGGTCAGCTTGATGCCAGACGCACTCTCTGGATGCTGGTCTGAGAATTGCTGGATAACCAAAGAACATTTAGTAAAAGCACGACATCGAGAGAAACACTTGATTCATAAATTCATGTTTTTATCATTATTGTAGCTATGGATGCACGTAGCACCGAAGAGGAACATTTAGTTTAGACCTTTTTGAAAGCCACAACAGAGATGCGCGCAACAAGTTGGAATGTAACTAATATTTTACAGCGTGAAGATCGGCTTCCACGTTACGGAATGAAACATCAGGATAGTTATCGGAAAGCAGCGTAGGAGGATTCAGTTACCTGCAGCAGCTCGATGGCGCGGCTGTGCTGCTTCTCCCGGCACAGCTGAGCAACCTGGATGAGGACCGGCCGCGGGTGACCCGGATTCTGAGACTGAAGACTGGACGACAGCTTCCTGCACTGATCCGCCTGTCGACATCAAAGCAGAATAATCCCGATCAGAGACGATGCCCAAAACCGGGCGAGAAACCCTCCGCTGGAGCTCGTCCTCCCCTTCAGAACGCCGGCGGCGGCGGCTTAGCTACCTGGTTGGTGTACATGGCCAGGAGGGCCTTGTTGAAGTCGATGGCCTGCAGCTGCTTGGTGGCCAGCTTGTATTCAACGCCCTCCGCGTTGGTCAGCTTCACCTTTTTCTTTGAGTCGAACACGTTTTGGTCCTGTGAAAGAAGAAAAAGAGCTTCGGTCAAATAATCATCCCGCTGGATTTTGCTTTCTGCCTGTTGACTGATTTCTGGCAGTGAGTCGGTCTGAAGTGAGATCCCAATGGCGCTTTCAGGATGAAATATCGCCACACACACACACACACACACTCTCACACCCTCACCTTGTTTATTGTAATGATATTGTTGGCGGTCACAGCGAGCAGCCCCACATCTGACGGCCTGTAGATTAAAGAGCATAGAACGTTTGTGGCTCCCCCAATGGGGATTTAAATCACGTTGACGGTGTAGAAGCTCCATGGTACGATGTCAGGTTGTGTATTATATTGCTCGTTCCTTTCCGGTTGGGAAGCATTGTCTTCTCCTACGTGAACCCGGCACTCACTTGAGCTTAATGACCTGGTTGTAGAGCTGCAGAGCCTCGTCCGTCCGACCTTGTAACTGCATGACGTACGCCATCTGAGAATGGATGACGGCCAGCTCCGACTCGATATCCTCCTCGGTCACATCCTGAGACGGACAAAGCCGCAGGGGCATTAATTCTCCAGGGCACATTAAGATATGAAGAATGAGCATTGTCGTAGGAAAAAGTTGCTTCATAATTCCTATTTTACCCATTTCTAGTGTGTGTGTGTGTGTGTGTGTGTAATGTCAATAGTTTCCCTGCATGATAAAAAGAAATATCTGCCGACTAGAATTATTCCCTCCATTATTTTTTTCTTCACAATGTTTCATAATAACACAAATACTGTCTTACTGATTAACAAAAGACAAATGAAATGTCGCTTTTTCCTTTTAAAAAGATAAGACTTCATGAACGCCGCTTGAATGTTTTAGGAGCCAAAGAAAAAAAAAAAAAAAAGCAACACTCACAGAATCATCTGCCAATGAGACTCTGCAAAGCTCTGCGAAAGAAAACAAACTGGGGTTTATGTGATGTGGAGGAACGGAGGAAATGGAAAGAAGGAAGAGCCGAGTGGGACTGACCCTCTGCTTGTCGTAGCTTATTGAGGGACTCCGTGAGCTGTCCTTGGCCAATCAGAGCGCAGGCAGCGTTGTAGCACAGCTCGTACGTGGACTCCGGAAGGCCGAGATCTTCCTACAGAAGAAAACATAGCATGTTATAAACATAATTCAATCATTTACCAGGTGAGACATGCAGTTGCTCTCTTGAGCTCTTCGCTGGTATTCATACTTTTAAAACATTTTGAAAAGGAAGCCAAATTGGAGCTTTTGAATGGTTTTACTTTATTCTGTTACGCTCCGCATTCAAGGGAAATAAACCGCTCTGTTTGCTTTGTGTGTCAACACTTTCAAAGTCAGTTGCAAGTTGCTTTTCATCCGTTTAAGACAGAAACATAAAACCCAAGACCGTAAAAAGAGCCCAAAATGTTGATCCTGCATGGAAGCCTACCAATGGAGCTTCCTCCCACTGACTCATTGAAGCCACCACAGCAGCCAGGTTGGTCTTCCTCTCCTCCTCGTACTCATCCTGGGAGTTCCTGATCAGATCTGTGTAGACGGACTTGCAGTCATCGTAGCGCTCCATCCTGTACAACTGGGCAATGGAAGGAACGCGCCAACGTCGTCACATCAAACACAGCCGTGTCGTTGACAATAAAAGGTCACTGGATGGCAGAGCAGGCAGATACATCCACAAAAACTGTTGTTTTTGTTTTGTTTGAAGTTTTAGCCTTACCACTTGACCGTAGAGCTCCTTCAGCTTGTCGGTTTGCTCAGGAGCGGCCTCGATGGTCTTCAGGGCATTTTCCACTCTGTTTAACCGGTATTCGCAGTAGGCCTTTTCAAACACCACATCACTGAGGAGGCACAGAAATAAATAAGTCATGCAGATAGATAGAAGTATTTCACTACATTGTATGTGTAAAGCATGAAATTAAAATAGCCATATCTAATTCTAATATTCTTTTGATGCCATGGTTTTGACAACTGCATTAAACGAGTGACGGGATTTTATATTGGGCTTCAACTACTAACTATTTTCATTAACAATTACAGTGTTGACAATTTCTTTAATGACCTAAATAGATGAAGCTTGAGCACTTCTTAAGTAGCCTCTCTGCTGATGGGACGTTTGCAAATATTTGCAGAGTACAATTCAAGCCCTTTCTGTACGTTTGCATTGGAATGTGTGTAAGCATGCGAACTGCTGGTGTAAATACTGTTTAATTAGCATATAAAGCATTATCAGGAGATTCTTTTGCAAAAATGTGCTCCACAGAGAAACCTCAATAATATATTTAACAATCAAAATGTTAAATCTCTTCTGTATGACCGTCCGACAGTGCAAAACAAAAATATATTCAATTTGAAACCCTACAATTTAAAACACTGGTACCGAACAATATTTAAAGTATTTTTTAACAAAACAAAATTATTTTAAAAAAGTGTTGTCTGGTTGGTCAGAGAGTTGTTCCTCATATTAGGAGTGCACATTTACCACTCAATACGTAACGGAGCACACATTATTATTAGCACACAGTTCGGTGATTACCTGGTGATGGTTTTTGAATGCGTGTTGATGACGTGCAGCGCCTCTTTGAAGCTGCCGTTCTGAACCAGGCAAACGATCTTACAGTGAAGTGCCGTCACATCGTCCCGGTTTTCGTGGAGAACTGCGACGGAGAAGAACACAAACAACAATGTTTTAATAAGTAACGCAGATTTGCGAGAAAGGACACTATCGTCTGAAAACCTGCTATTTAGAAAACGAATCAACGGTCACTGCACGTCTCTAATAAGGGTTTGGTGACATCTGACCACAAGCTAGTTAGCCACCGACCATGCTAACGTTAAGTTAGCTGAGAGGCTAGGGACACGTCACTAGTCAAGAAAGAATGGCACATTTCTGTGACATATTACTTAATCCCTGCACATAAAAAAAACCATAAAAACAGATGGAGTCGTAGCGCCACTACAAAAGTACACGATTGTGAGCAGAGCCGTGGTATACAAAGCTAACTCGGTGTTTGAGACACCCGACAGGCAGACGTGTAACTGCCTTCAGCCTAGCCACATGCTAACAGCTGTCCATGCAGATGGCCCTAGCTTAGCTAGTGAACTGCGCTGATTGGAGGCAGGAGAAATGACCCATTGATTGCGATTTCTGTTTTGTTGAGAGTGATGATGACAGAGATAAATACCTACTTCTAGTCAGAGCCTTCAGGGCTCTTGTAAAGTCTCCATTCTGCCCGCAACGGTTGACTTCGGTCCACAGCGAAGCCACCGAGACCCCTCCACTCGCCATCTTTGCTGAATGGACTCTGGGCTCTCGGCGGAAGTGGAATGCATACACATCCGGGCCGAAGGAGTAATTAGCTTTATTAATTTAAAATTTGAATAATACACACGCCAATGATTAAGGATGAGCCATGATGCAGTGTAACTGATAATGAAACGTGGGGTGTTTTTAAACATAGACATCAAAGATGGATGAAATGTTTCTGTTCAGCGTAATGATGCATTCATGGCCGAACTATAAAGCTTGATTTCTGCAGAGCGGCCAAACTCAGTTAGCCAATGGTGAGTAAGTTACTGAAACTCAAGGACTAAGTTGTTAAGTTAATGACATGGCCCTCTTACATGGATGTATTTGTCAATTTTAATATTTTATTTTGTCATTTTGATCGTGGAAAACCTGCAGCAGGAAAAATGTGATAACCAAGAAAACAATAGTGGCGCGGAGTGATGTCTGAATGCTAGTAAATATTTGACATGTAAAAAGTGAATTTATTGAACACAAATCAATTTTTTACATCATTGAAGTGTTGTATGTAAACATTGAATGTTTGTACCTTTACACATTTCATTTGATTACTTTTCCGATATTTCTGTGTACACTTGAAGGCAGCGCGGCAGTCACGGTAGGAGGGTTCGCTCGGACGCGCTCTGCAGCCGAGGAGGGGGCCACTGTTGTCGTTCGTCAGGGCTGCGAGTCGAGCTTTTGTCCTGGAGAAATGGCTGGGATTAAAGGTAAATCATGTACGCTTAAAAATCATGTAATTTAGAAAGCCTCTCAAATACCAGGCCGGCATATTAACCTGTGTTGAATGATTCTGAAGAGAGATGGACGCTTCGTCCAGCTAGCTAACGGTAACGTGAGGAAGCCGCAGGGCCAATACACGTTAGCATTAGCTTAACAGCCTCCATCCCGTGGGCTTCTTAGTCAACACAATAACACATTTTGTAATGTTGCAAGACACAGTTCAACCATGTAACGTTTTAATTACGGCACTGTTTATAATGGCACCCCCCTTTTCAAAGTACGGCAATGTAACGTTAGTACCACCGTACCAACGTTACATTACCGTTGTAATGCTAATGCTAGCTGCACCTTTAACTTCAGCCGCTGGTTGAGATGCTGAGCTTTCTGTAAGTGAGCTGCCCGGATTCATGGCGGTCAAGCTGTTCCACGTGAAATCAGCTGATTCATCACATGGGTACTTACAGCAGCCAGGGCCCCTGCAGCTACGGTGGGATGGGGTCCAGAGAGAAGCTACATAAGGGACACTGTCCATGCTGATGTCCTCCCCTCTGTCTCCCTTCTAGCTCTCATCAGCCTGTCCTTTGGAGGGGCCATTGGCCTCATGTTCCTCATGCTAGGATGTGCCCTCCCCGTGTACGAGTAAGAGCCACACACACACACACACGCACACACGCACACGCGCACACACACACACACACACACACAACGTGGTTGGGTTCATCACACACGCAGGTGCACTCTGGCTGATCCCATCATGGCCTTACAGCTTTAGGTACCGGGCTGGATTAACCTGCGTGGCGGCTCCCTTACACTTAAACCTGCTGTGTGGGACAAAGACAAGTCTTCCGTTTTTTTATGGTGGATTTTGCATTTGTTATGCCTTCTTTGTGGTGTGGTCATTTGAACTAGATGCCTACCCCACCACTCATCAACATAATACATATGTTGATTTAGGGGTTGTTATATCTCTAAGTTGACTTATGACAGCCTGCGTCGGCCGCCGCTATTTTTTGTCCTGGAGGTGGCTTTAAATATTTATGTAAGAAGAAAGTGACCCCATTCTTAATCCTGGTTGGGTGATTGTTTTCCAAACTGACTGAAACAACTGCCGGTTTGGCACGACATCGTACCTATTTAAATTCAAAGCTCTGTAGGATCACCATACAAGAGCATTATCGGCTGAAATAATAAAGCTGTTAAAGCTAGATTCTGACACCCCGAAGAACACAATGTCAGGGAATAAAGCGCCTGGGAGCCATCTACCACATCAGTGGGTATCCTACTTTCGTGATGCATTTTTACATAGACACAAACCAATTGTCAAATATTGAAGCTTGTGCTCACACCAACATTATAAAGTCAGATGTTGATATTCAATGAAAGTGTTAAGACAGAGTCTGGGCAATTTTGCAGTGTATTTGTTTGCACACCACGTGGTTGGTTGCAGTTAATTTGCTTATTGAAAACCACTTTTTCTCTCCCTACATTAGCCACTGCTCCGGAATTTTCCTCTTGTAATCTAATCTAATTCCTATTTGATTCGTTAATGTTTACAGTTACTGAAATGTTACAATCCGTATTTACGTTCATGAACTTCTATAACACAAATGTCTCCTTAGGCACAGCTCTACCGTACCTCAATGTCCGGGAGACGTTAAGTGTGACAAAACAAACACACTTACTTATTGTTATTGTTGTAATATAATCAAATATACCTGTGAAGATAAGATGTGTTTTTGCCTTTTTTTTATCCTTCACTTAAACTCCTCATCCTTCATCGTGTGTTTATTCTTCTCTCCCCTTTTCTCTGGCAGCAAATACTGGCCGTTGTTCCTCCTCTTCTTCTACATCCTGTGTCCCATCCCTTACTGCATCTCGCGGCGAGTGGTCGACGACACCGACTCGGCCAGCAACGCCTGCAAAGAGCTGGCCATCTTCCTCACGACGGGCATCGTCATCTCAGCGTTCGGCCTGCCCGTCGTCTTCGCCAGAGCCGAAGTGGTGAGTCCCGGCTGCGAGAGGCATGTGCAGTCGATGGAGTGAGGTCACGGCGCCAAAGCGAGACACAGCAGAGTGAAAATGAAACCAAATTAGACGTTTTAAAAAAGGACTTTGGTCATTGTATCAGGTAGAGGAAGGCATTGATACCGCCGTACCGTCTAAATAAAAAAAAAGCTTTCCGGTCACAATTCGATATCTTAAGCCGTCATTTTGAAATTTTGGCTGAATAGCAACACTTTAAGAACGAAGCTGAAAACACGAAAGGGCTGAATGATTACGGAAAACGATCTAGTAGTGATTTCTTTGAGTGGTATCAGCAATCATAAATATAATGACATCACTATTCTCATTTCAATAACAATAACATTACATGTTGTGGGGATCTGTGTGCTGACCAGGAAATCTCTGCAGCACAAATGGCATCAAGACACATTTCATTTCAAAAGTGACTTTTACGTTTTATTACAAAGTCTGATATTTTTATTCTTTTGTGTCACAGCTCCATAAACAACCAGACAATGCTCCTCACTGTTGTCCCTTCATCAACATTATCACACGCGTGTAGTTTAGTTTGACTCGATCTTAAATACACCGTCCTGCTGCCACAATTTCTCACTGGAGCAACAAATGTGGGTTAATCCGCCGCTGAAAATAGTCCCAAGTCGTCGTTGAATGATATGCAGCATGTGCAGCAACATTTGTTGACCTGAAATATTGATGCGTTGCCTCACAGATCGCCTGGGGGGCGTGTGCGCTCGTGCTGACGGGGAACGTAGTCATCTTCAGCACCATCCTGGGCTTCTTCTTGGTCTTTGGATCCAACGACGACTTCAGCTGGCAGCAGTGGTAAAACAGCAGAGGGAGGGTCCTTAGTCTGAACTGTTTTTATTATTGTTGTTATTATTATTATGGTATTACTGTTTGGTTCTTGTTGTTATTTATATGATGACCGCCCATCCATAGACTCCTACCAAACCAGTGCAATACTTTTCGTTTGTTTGTTTGTTTTTTGTACCACATTGAACTGACACAAGTGGGATGGTAACTGCTGACTCTCTGTTGCATATTGTTACTCGTTTTAGTTTCTGTGTTTTTGAATCTGCTACATGTGTGCGTTTCGTTTTTTTGAGCGAAGCCGACGACTACTGCTTGTATTATCTGTGAAGAGAAGAAATCCGCCTGAATGCCGAATAATCTGACCTAGAAAGAAAAGGCCTGCCTGTCTCTATTTGGTCGTCTGCGCACTGCGTTTCCAACGTGCTGAGTTGAGTGTAAATCAGCAGAAAGCTGATCAGATTGCATTTGGCTCGGTTTGATCAGAGTTTTATTCTCCCGAAGTAACAACCAGGCTGACGGAATGCTGCTCTTTGATGAGCTTCTCGGCTGATTATCATCGTGGGGTTGTGAGGTGGAGGAGACGTGGCGCCGGTACGCGATTACACACTTTTTCTCAACGCCCGCAACCCCTTAAAGAGTCAGCGGACGGAGCAGGACGAACGGCGTCCGATTCCTCCCACCCGAACACGCCGACTTATCACAGAGACTCGCCTAGGGCCCCTTAAGCTTTTACATGTGACCCCTTCAAAATAAAAGGAGCTCAGTGCCGTATTTCATTTCCTCACACCAGCCTCGTGATGATAAAGGTGTTCCTGTGCGTCCGGTTGTGTAAACTCAGGCGCTGCTCTCCTCAGTAACTGCATCGCCGGAAAATTGCCTTTGGCTTTTTGGTTTTGTTTTTTTGTGGAGGTTCCGTTTTAAAATGTCCTCTCTGGATGATAAGACAAAACAAAACAGATTTCGAATGAGGACTAATGCTGACTTAATACAATTTGGTATGCCTTGTTGTTCTTTTAACGCCGGCTTCACGGCAGATTTCCAATGAACCGGACATAACGTCAATACGTTTGGTTCCATAGAAGTATTTCCACTTTTACAATCCACGTATTCATGATTTATCAAATACATTCAAAGGATTAGTTTGGGGGGGAAAAGATTAGGTTTTTTAAATTTTTTATTTTTAAGTCAGGTCCGGAGATCGTTACCATGTTTTTTTTAATCAGCGTGTCAAAGGAGTTTGAATCAAGATGTGATTAGCTTAGCTTAGCATAAATATAAGGGAAGACATTGAGCCTGTAAAAGTTCCACAATATGCAACTAATACGCCATCAAAGTTCATTATTAACATCAAATTTTTCCATAAAATCAAATGTTTTAGAAATGAGAAATTGTGGTTTTAAAGGGATTTACTTGCATTCGCTCTGAAACTTGTTTGTAATTAAATATTAATAGTACATAACTCCCCTTTGTCATTTTTATATCTGCTTATTGGGATGAAACTATATGTATTAATGTGTAAACTTTAAACGAAGACCTTCCAGTCTTTATGCTAAGCTAATCACTAATATTGGAAATCTGCAGAGGAAAGCTGCGGATAAAAATACCAACTAACACGTCGGCATTAAAACGTCCCACTCAGTTGTGATGTTTGCTCGACTTCCTCCCAGAGAACAGGGGTTGTATTAAAAAGCAGCTTCTTAGTTTGAGGTCTAAACTACGTTTGACTACTGAATAATAATAATAACTGAACTGATGTGTGCATGTTGTTACGTGACACCAGGCTCAACTTGTCAAATGTTGTCTAGTCCGACCACGTGCGTCTCTCGTGTTCCTCTTGGTCTTCCCACACATTTGGGAGGATGCTGTATTTATTTCGTCTGAACATTCGGACGCTTCGTGTCAAAATGTCCCGACGCCGTTTTTCCATCGACAACCTTTCTGTTAAAGAGGCAGAAGTCAGCATGGTGGTTTTCATTGTTTCTTTTTTTAATAAACGCCAATTTTTAAACGCCATCCTCTCCTTTTGAATGACTACTCGTGCGTTTGCTTTGTCTGATCAGATGTCCGGTTCACAGGCGGTGAGCTGAGCTGAAATCATCTCTTTGCCTCATTTTATGTTCAGATTAAAAGGAAGTTACTTGATTTTTTGTAGCAAAATGGCAAATGTATTATTATTATGAAGTGATTCACTTATGACACAGTAAAATGTAGTGATTCTATAAGTCCTCTTAAGGTCTTCGTAGTTAAAGGCTGCTGTATAAACAAATAATGAATGATTATAACTTCTAACTATACAAAATATGTCGTCATTATGAAGGACTTTAAAATCATCACAGGACTTAACTTGAACCTAAAAGTCATTGCTTTTATGAATTGATTTTATGCCTTTGCACATTATAAATCAATCCACTTAAGACAGTAACAGAGGCTAAGAATGAACTCTTATGAAATATAAATGCATTGTGATAACTGACAGGAGACCCGGGGGGCAACATGCAACATCTGCAGCAACATGCGACGTCTCACACGGTTTGACTGGCGCCTTTCTGACAAGAGAGAAGAAAAGGAGCAACGTCACAGCGACTCATTTATAGACACATTCACGTATGTACCTTCAGTTTGTAATTCAGTAAAGCAGATATTCTGCTCAGTCCTCATGCGTCACACTTCTTTGAGCGTTGTATTTGTAAAAATAAAAGGTTGAACTAAGTGCTGAAGTTAAAATCCCCCATGCTACCCCGCACCCCGCGGCGGCTGCTGTAGAGACGCCCGCTCGCTAGACGCAACACGCCCGACCTGCTCGGCCCCCCTCGCGCAGCCCCCTCGCCTCCGGGGGGGACTACTCTGTATTTGCATACAACGTTGAATAAAACCTGCAATTTGTGCGCATAACCAGTTGCGTTTTTTCCTATTTATTCAAACAGTGAGCCACATAGCAACGCAACCCGTCAGACACACACACACAGACAGACACACACACACACACACACACACACACACACAGCAGGCCTCGCCTCCCTGGTATGATAACAGCAGCTGGGATTAATGCTTAAACTTGCCCTTTGTAGGTGCGCTCGGTCTTCTTTGAGACACAGTGGTGCAGGAGACACTCTGACCGGGGCGTGACGCACCTGTCCTTGCTGCTAAGGATCATGGGAAGCCGCGGGAGGCTGTAGGTGGTGTTCGGAGAGAGAGAGAGAGCGAGAGAGAGAGAGATCCACTGATCGATCATGAGGAGGTTTTTCCGAGCGGACAGGAACGAGGACCACAGTCAGATCCAGTATCTGACGGCCAAGTGCACCCGGCTGGCTCACGACAACGGTGAGAATAAAAGTTACACATTTACATTTCCCTGCTGCTCGCTGCCATTGTGACCGTGCCAGTCATTTGTGTTACTTCTGTCTGCTCAAATTCACTGCAGTGTTTTTCTCTAAATGAAATGTCTGAGATTCTATAATCGCTCATGGTCCTCTGGTATGTGAAGGTGGATTCTGCCTCTTACTAAAGTTCATGTCACTAACGGGCAGAAAACAAAATCATAAAACCGCAGAAGGAACGTTAACCGGAGAGTTCCCTCCAGTCCCTCCCTCAAGTTCAAAGGTCAACTGTGGGTGTGTCGTGTATTTAGGACCTCGCCGCAGAAAAATGTCCTCACGAGTCCTCTCCTAATAATCGGTTTTAGCTTTAATGAGAGAAATCACACTGATTAAAATAAATATTGTAAAAAGGAAACAGAACACTTTGATTGAACGATGTGATGTCCATCATATGATGCATTATTATGTCTTATAACATCTAAAGCAATGGGTGACGGGTGGGTGGCCAATCAGAATCAGAACTAAACAATAAACAACATGAGGTGCGGACAGAGAAGATGAATCCAAAGAAACGGCGAATGTTAACCGCGCTGAATGTTAAAAGTGGCGAATGATCGACCGCATCGACGTACGCCATGAGGACCACAGAGTGAGAGACGAGGACGGGATCCAAAAGAAATATGTGTGGAAGCAATTAAGGACACACAAGTGCAGTGATGAGGTGAGAGGGACGGGGGGGGGAAAGTGTCTCAAGGCCAGAAGTGACATACGACCCTTTATCTCAAGCGTCACGGTTCTAAGTAAAAAGAGGGTGATTCCTGAAACAGCGGCTCTGACTCGGCTCTGTGCCGCTGCAGCGATGCTCGACAGGGAGATGCTGCTGGCCCGAGGCCGCGAGAGGAAGCTGCACAGCGAGCTGGAGGCCGCGGCCTCTGGACTCCGCCTCCGCGATCAGATCAACGCGGAGCTCAGGATGAGAGAGGAGCAGCTCATCGGCAGGATCCACCAGCAGCAGGTCAGCAGATCTCCAAAGGGAGAAATCAAAGGAGGGGGGGCGTTCGTTGTAAGGTGTCAGAGGCCATCTTGAGCGGCTATAATCAATATTTATAAACCAACAATGGATCGGATGACTGTGTAGATGGAAAAAGTCTTTTTGAAATTGTGTAATTCAATCTTGTAGCGTTTAACCTCATTACAATCCCATCATTTAAATGCACATCAAAAGCCACACCAGCCGCCACCTACGCTGCGATTACTGCAAACCACACTGGGGTCACGGCACCAGTCAGCGCCGCGCTAACATTGCGTAGGTGCAGAGGCTTTGGCAGCGGTCACCAGCCTCTTTGGGGCTTTTTTTGCGCTCTGTGTTTTTGGCCCTTCTTCAAGGGAGATCAATTTTAATTTTATGTGAATTAAGAAATAGTTTGCTGTAGTTTCTTTTGTGTCCCTTAATACCCGTTGGACCGCTGAGATTCATCCCTGCTTCCAGGTAACGAACCAGCAGCTCTTCTAGAAATCTTGATGGTATTTGTTAGAGACTTGGAGAGTGTGACTCACTCACTTTACTCACATAGAGAGAGAAGTCGGGTTTGGACAAGTCTCTAACTATTTGACCTATAGGTGCGTTTGACATCACACCGTCTGCGCAAGATGATAATGCCTTGATGAGGGAGGATTTACAAGTTCAATAAATGACAGAATTCTGAAGTGAAAAGACAGACAATTATAGTTAACTCGGTGAAAATAGAGCAATGAAGCAGAATAAAAAATAAAAAGCTTTTTCAGCGAGTGGGATTGTTGTGCTCGTGCGAGCATTGTGACGTTGCGTCTCTCCTGCAGGACCTGGTGCACCGGCTGCAGCAGCGCCTGCTCCTGCTGGCGGAGGCGAGCTCCCGGGACGGCGAGCTGCTGCGGCAGGTCGGCACAGAGCTGCTGTGCCTGCAGAGCTCCGAGGTGGAGCTGGAGGGCCTGGTGGAGGAGCTGCACGCCGAGGCCCAACGCAAGGCCGGGATGGCAGAGAGCCTCCAGGCGGAGCTGCACGCTGAGGCCCAGCGCCGGGCCGCCCTGACGGAGAGCCTGCAGGCGGAGCAGCGCAGGCAGGACCCCTCCTCACGCTTTCTGATTGTATAGATTAAAATGTCCGTGTACGGACTTACATTGCATTGATGGTGGGGATATTTGTAGGAATGTGCACGTGTTTTCAGATTAAGGTTGAGCACATTCCTTTACTGTCATACCTCCTTGTTCTGTTGAATCGTTGCTAGTTGGATTTGAAACACATTCCTCCGTGTTTCACACAGCTTTTCAAACCGACCAACACATAAAGCAACACGTTTTATTTAACTCTAACAAAAATCCCAAATGAAAAGTTGTTTTTTAAGTAAAATGCTATAGATGCTAAAGGTAGTGTTTTTTCTCAGTTCTGTCCAGATGATAGCCAACATTTTGTAATTTTGAGAAATCTCTCTGAAAAGTAAATTCCAAGTCAAGCGAATGAAACACACATTTAAAAAAAACAATCCTTTCCTCTATTTGTCCCCAACAGGAAGAGGGCCGAGCTGGAGGAGCTACGAGACACCAACCAAACGCTGACGGACGAGCAGAAGGATCTACGCTCGGCTCACCAGACGCAGGTAAAGGGAGCCGATGCAGCTCCGAGGTGTTTCGCTTAACCTCTGACCTCGATTAGGTTATTCACACAAACCAGACATTCAAACCCCATCCGGCAATGAACAAAGAGCCGGTGGCCGTAGTGAGACTGTTGTCCAGCAGGTGTCAGGATTGGACTTTTTGTCCACCGCTGCTCTGGCACTTTCTATCGCCGCGTAAATAGATAAATAATGGCCGTTGAATGTTTTTAGAACCAATGTGGCTTTTTTATCGCTGTCGAGCTTCCAGCCAACTCCTCCAGAAATGTGCAACATGGTCCTGCTGCCAGCTCCTCCTATCAGAAGTAACGTCTTAAAACTGATCCGGGGCCAGTTTAACATCAGAGACCAACAAGTCTGCTGCTGCCGCCTGATTTTGATTGATTCAATTGCATGAAATCTAAAACCTCACGGTTCAAATTTACGGCCCCAATTTGAAAAACTACAACCACCCGTGAGAAAAGGCACAAATTCAGATTTTTTAAAATTTATTTCCTGGCATCGGCATTCGTTTCAATGTGTTTTGAGTCGGGGCACCAGCGAAGCATTCCCACCCAGTGTGAGGATTTAATATTTGTATTAGACCCCCCTCCCTCGCTGGCCCCCGTTTCTACCAGTCCATCAAAACCGGCAGAAGAACACGGTTATCTCTGCTGCGAGAAGGACCGACAGACCGCCCCGCCAGTGGGAAACCTAACGAGAACCTTCAAGCCTGTGAATTATTGTGAAAGTCCAGAGAGCCGGAGATCACGTCCGACCCCCTTTTTCTTTTGCGTTTGCTCATCTTTCCAGATGACGGCGCCGGGTTCAAGAGGCTCCTATTTTTCCCTCCGACCATATCGAGGCCTCCGTCTAAGCCCCTGACATTATTCATACAAAAATGAGGCGATATAACAACATCCTGCTTTACTGTGTTGGAGGTGAGGGAGCTGCAGCAGGAGAACGAGGGGAGTCTGAGGAAGCTGCAGGCGACGGCGGAGCAGTTCGAGTGGCTCTGTCAGCAGCAGCGCGGCTGGATGTGTTGTGTCAAGAGGTACGGCGTCTTCTCCGTGCATCACGCACAGCATCGATACGGCAGCCCGAACAAACTGGCAACATTACAGCGGTGCTGGTTGACTATTTGGTTTTTGGACCCTTTTCACACGGATCAAAGAGACAATTGTTAAGGAATAGTTTGACACATTAGGGTCTGGTTGTGAGTTTTTGCTGAATTTCTTACAGTCTTTATTGATTAAACTGATACGTGTTGATTGGGGAGATTTAAAGGCCTTCAGTCGGCCTTTAGTTACTTCTTCCATTTTCATTTACATACAAAACTCAATCCTTTCTTTAAGCTTCACCCAAATTGTTTTGTTTACCAAACCTAACTTTGTTGTTTCCTCAACCTTGAGCAGATTGACTTTTTTGGAAAAATCCCTTAAAATAAGGAGCCCTTTTAACGCCCTCATATTTGGATTAGCCTAGCTTAGCATAAAGCCTCCAAGCACCTTTAAGGCCGGCGCATTCTTCTGCGTCGTTGCGTCGACGCACTCGTTTAAAAGTCTTGCGTGTGTTGCAGAGCAATTCACCTCCAGAACAACAGGCGGAGTGACGTGTTTCTGTTGAAGACGACCTCGAGAGTCACGTCTATTTATTTATTTGTTTGTTTATTTATCATAGGCTTGTAGAAGCGCTCATATTTACGCATTTCTTCCCGACAAAAGTTCTTAAATCTGATCCGTTCTCTCGTAAACATTCTTTTTTATTCCTCTGAATAAAGTGAAAAACAACCCCCCCCCTTGAGTAGTTCTGAGTCATAAAGATGTCCATCTCTGAGGAGCAAACCACTCCACAGACGTCCACGTGTAGCCGGGACTCGTCTCACTTCATCGGGTTTAACTAGACGCTCGCTCCCTGCTGGGTTGCCACAGATTCAAGGACAGCCTGATGGAGGAGAGGGACGCTCTGCTGCGACAGGTCGTCGCCCTCAACAAGAAGGTCGAGGAGCTGAAGAAGAGTTTGCGCGAAGACGCTCCCACGCAGAGCGTCCTCCGTCCCCCGCAGGACACTAAACGCCGTGACAGGTCAGGAGGTGGACAGACGAGCGGACGGGTTCAGTAGAGTTATCACCGCGATGAAGCTGCCAGAGTTCAGCTGCGGTTTTTTTAAATTATTTAAAAGGACTCCCACTGGCATTAAATAAAGAAAAGAAAATTCCTCTTGGTCTCCCATCATTTTCATACATTTTCCTACGACTCTTTCTCTTCCAAGCAGCTTAACGTCGTTGGACGCAGACGCTGTGGCTGACCTGGAGTCTCGGGTGGAGAAGTCAAACATGCTGTACGCGGCGCTCTTTAACCAGGTACCAGTTTCATTCTTCTGCTTCTCGATCCTTGTCTGCTGCAGCGCTTTTATTGTGGTCCTAACCCTAAAGATAGCGACTTTACTATCACACATCGCAAAGAAAAAGCATCCAAACCTCAAATATGAGAAGACGGTGAATCAGGAAACCGGGAACTAGGCGACATTTCTACGGAAAATCCATAATTTGGTGAACCAAATAGTTGCCGATCAATTTTTTTTCCATCCATTAATCAGACAGTTGTCCTTCTTAAAAAAAGACAACAACTGCATCCTCTAACTTCTTCCTCTCTTGGTATTTTACAGCAACCATTCGACAAACCATTATTTTAAGAGCAACATTTGTGTATGATTACGCCTTTGGATCAAAGACAAGAACTGATCCGAGGTCTGAAACAGAAGACAACAGAAAGGAAAAGAAACAGAGCTGGTGTGTTCCGGAGCCCTGAAGCTTCTTGGGCACCAGACTCTCGTCATTCTCCTTTTCATTAGAAAGGCTGGTTGAAAAGGGGGCACACGGCGCCCTTTGTCCCCCTTAGATTTAAAATACCTTCGACACATCCTCCAGGAGTGATGAAAGCTTGCCGGGTAGTTCAATGTCTTTGTATAATAAAAAGTACCTGTTGTACATTTATTAATTCACCTTTAAGACTCCTAAGCTGCAGAGTTATTGGAGCTGCCTTCAAAAGACCAAGTGCCTTTTAAAGTCACCATGTTCAGTTGTAGTTTTTTAAACCCTGGATCTGAGACAAGTGCAGAAACACAGACAGTCATCTGAGGGGGGGGGGGGGGCGCCAGCCCCCTGTGGACTTGTAGCAGGGCCAGAACATTCATGAAAGCCCCGGTCACGGGCACTGGAGTCCAATCAGTGATTCACTTTTTCTGTCTTGTCTGCTCTTTAAAAGTTTCAGAGCTTTGACTTTTGACTGAAAATCGGCATCACAATCAGACAGGAAGCCCCGCGTTGTCCCACAAAGAGCTCCTCCAGGAAGAGCTCGCACATCCTGACAGCACCTCAAACGCTTTCCTCAGACAAGAACCCAAGAGGTGCTCGCACTCCGCTTTGGGATTTTTCAAAAAAAAATCTCCCGCATACACTGCGGAGTGTTTCTTTTCCTCCTCTCTCTTTACATCTGCGATTGAGAGGAAGCCCGAGAGACAGAACATAAGGCCGATGCTCGTGTGCCAGAAGCCCTTCAGGAGATCAGGCTGATACTTTCTGGGCACCGGAGTCCCATCGGGTCTCTTTCTGTCCGTCTGTCAGTGGGCTGCGCATGGCTTCCCTCCCAAACCTCCCCTCTTCCAAAGCGGCAGAGAGATGACTAATGGCGGCTCGAGGGGAGGCGAGTGCCAGCGAGGCCTCGGCGCTGCGCTCCCCTCACACGCTGCGTTTCTCCACATCATTATTCTGATTGAGTGCAGATGACGCAAGGGGCTTTTCATTCTTCTTTTTCTAATTTCAGTTTTTTTTTTGAAGGAGCACTATTTCTACAACCATCTTCTTGCGTTTGCCTTATGAGCTTCATGAGATAAAATTCCAGGACTCAAAAGACGTTAACAGGAGAGTTTAAGACAATTTAAAATCATCTGCTTAAGCTGCAGGAGACATGGAAGCGAGGTGATGGGGGTCTACAAACTCGTTAATTTCGTAATTATGGGATGTAACATAAAACTTAATAATTCTGGTCAGCAATGGATACTCAGCGTAATGAAAAAGCTTGTGAACCGCTGTTATTTTGTTGTATTGTTATTTGAGTCCTCATCGGGTCACGCTGTGTATTCTGAGCTTTTCATCCGGTTGAAACCCAGCTTAGACCTTTCTATCTGGATCTCCTACTCCGGTTCCTCTTTTTGCTCACTTTCAGAGTCATCTTCACTTAAAGTTGTTCTTTTGTTTTCTGTCCTCAGGCAGGAGTCCTCATCAGCGGATACCAACACCCTCCTTGAGGACCTGCAGCCTGCAGCCTGGACTCGTCTTCCTCTTCTCTTCCCACCTTCTGCAAACCACAACTTTACCGCTAAATGTTTGTGTGCGCGGTGAACTTTGTAAAATACCCGCCAGTCGTTGTCGTAAAAAAAAAAGAAAAGAAAAGAAAACATGGAACAGCTTAACCGACTCGTTCCCAGAGCCTTTTTTCCCCCTGTCTTCCTTTTACTGTGACACGTGCACATCACATGATGTCACATTCTCCCGTAATCGTCCGTTACTCAGACCGTGTAATCAACACCACCAACCAGAGCGGTGAAGCACCTGCGAATGTTCTCTTCTGTTGTGTTGCCAATGAATCCTCTCTCGGGGGAAGCAGCTGCTGGCGAGCAACAGGAAACAACAAAACGTGCCGTTCAGAGCAAACCGAGGCCCGGCGGATGGTTTCCTCCGCACGGAGGATCTGGTTCATCTCCGCTCCGAACGAGGGGAGATCCTCACTTATCAGCACGGAACAGGGAGACGTACGGGAGGGGCCAGTGCTGTCGACTCGATGGTCTTCATCGAAATGGGAAACATGTGACGCACACATGCTTCGAGTAACCCTTTGGTTGCTGGACTGACGCGACGAAGCCTCGAGTCCGACGGCATCGCCGTCGTGGATTACACGGTCACTTTGTGCAAGTTACGATAATTGGAATCACAACAAGCTCCGCCCTAAAGCATATTCGTGCGCTATGGTTTAGTGGACCGTAATATACTAAATGAACATCATGCTGTATTGAATAAGATCAAGGCCAGCAACTCATGTTTACAGTGTTTACTGAGGGAATAAGTCATTTTCTGCACAATCGGAGTTGCAGCAGCAGCAGCCAGAGATGTCGACTTGATCCACCAAAGTTCAACAAATAATCCAACATGTTGTTTTTTGGGCAGTTCACCACACTTTGTTAAAGTCAGGAAAAAATTGTTGTTTTCCTTGACTAAAGTGAGCACAGAAGGGAAAGGGCAACCTTTCTCCTAACCTCAATTAAAAGTTTGAGTAGCCTCAGAGCTTGTAGGAAGGGAAGTAGGAAGCAGGGGGCAAATTGAGAAGTCTTGAACCTTTGTTGAAGGTACAAGCATTGGATGACACACCGTTTTAGTGAGAACCGATGCCATTTTTTAATACAAAAAAAAAAAACGTACAAAAACATACTTTCCACTCACTTTGTGGGTTTGTTTCAGCATCTCAGTCACCGACCCATCGTTCCATTACCACCCCTCCCAGTGTGATAGTTGTGGTGAACGTTGCTCCTGCATATTGAGGTCGCGCTGTGCTTACGGGAAAGCTGACTTTGCATGAAACAGAAGGACTCGATGCCAGTCGGCACTCACGCCCCTTAAACAGAAAGCTCTGTGGAAATGTGAGAATTGAGAAATGATGTGACGGGTCATAAATGTCCAAAAGTCTCAACAATAAGGTAAAGATATCAACAACAGCAAAGGCAAGCTGGGGGAAATCTTTCAGAGGAGCTGAAGTTGAGGACAGAACACGAAAAAGTATTTTCTAATACTAAAAAGTCGCACCCGCATCAACTTAAAAATTGAAAAATAACTTCTTGGCACAGGGCGGCTTCAGGTCAGAGTTCTGGACCCCCGGTGGGGTGGGGTGAGGGAGTTGGGGGGTAGGGGGGGTGAGGGGTGGTCGCGCCACCAGACGTGTAGCTCGGAGGCCCCGCGACACTCCTCGGCCCTCAGCTTGACCACGAGGGACGGCCGGCGGCCGCCTCCAGGCCGAGCGCTACACGGAGCCCGACCTCGGCGGCGGAGGTGTAGCCCGGGATTAACAACGTGTGGCGGCTGGAAACAGGTCGCGTTTGCACACAATAAATAGCGCCGCGCCGCGAGACTCAGACGTTATGGCCGTTACAATTAGGGGTGGAGAAAGAATAGCACGTTTATGTCCAGCCCGTCGTCCCTGGCCAGGCAAAGCACATAACAGATATTTAACACCAGGATGTAGCCGTTAAACAAAGTGGGACTTGTTAAAGTGGAGACTTTTGTCTGTGCACTTGCTTGTGCAAACACAGATTATGTGGTACAAGTATGTACTGTACGCAGCTGGTGTGGATCATAAATAACACCACATGGAGTCTGGAAAAAGTTCAATTATTGTGAATAGAAAGCGTTCATTAAACATTTACGAGAGCCCGAGTTCACTCGGGGAAATACATTCATCTGTCTGCTCTCGCAAAAACAAACGGCGGGATGTTCGGCGCGTAGCTGTTTGCGGTTTTTCGGAGCTTAAAACCGACAGGCAAAATGTTAGTGAAACGCGGAGTCACGTCTCGTTCTCTCTCCACGTGGAGATCGGACCTCCACCCGGCGGAGTTAAGGGTTGTTTACCGCCGCGTCCTCTGTGTGTACCGCTGTTTGGTTTCATCGGATTGATTAGCGGGGCTCGCGTGCTAATGCGAAACAGAGCGGGATGATGCATGTGGGTTTTTTTGGGGGAGGGAGGGGGAGTTGGTGTCTTTCTCTCTTGACACTGTTTGGATGCGCATGTAAATGTTTAACGGTGGCGTGAGTAAACACACGGCAGGGCGAGGTGTCGGGGGGGGGGTTCGAGAGGAGCCCGCGCTGCGTGACACGAGCACGAAGCCGCGCGTAAACACGGAGCTTTTCTCCCCCCCGAAGACACGCTGACATCACGCGTGGAGGAATCCTCCCGCGTAAACAAACTCGATCAACAATACAACTGGAAAACTCTCCAACGCGCGGGAGAGGGCGCTCAGGTTTGGCCCGACAGACCAGGTGACATGAATCCCGAAAGTTGATTAAACCAACAACGCAACAAGACGGAATGGCGTCAGTCCATTCAGCCAACATCGTACCGTGGCCGTCGCCACGTCGGTGGTCTTTGTGGCCCCCGGTGGAGCATCTGCTGGAAGAATCGACGCAGCCGGGCAGGAAAAAACATGTGTCTGTTTCATTTTTCAAAGTGACCACATGCCGCAGTTGGAATCAACAGCATGCGTGTTGTTGTTTTTGTCCTCCACTTTCTACTCTCGTCTCCTCGTCTCGTTGTAGTCTCCAGTGTGTTTATGGGAGGCGGCGGACGAGGCGGCGACCGGCCTTCGCACACCATGCAAAACGGGGATGTCGTCAACAAGTAGCTGGGTGTAAAAGGCATATTTGTAAAAGACGACGCGCCGCAGGTCTGCCAGGTTTTTTTTCCCGGCGCCACTTTGTGTTGCCGCGCGGAATTATTCCTCAACAGCCTGATGGGCAGAAATTCAGCTGATCTCTGCGGAGCCGAACGGCTTGCAGCGCTTCCCTACGCGGGAGACCTCCTCCACCACCACATCCTCAGCCGCTCTCTGCTCCCTGGCTCGACGCCTTCCCTTTCGTACACATTCAACGGGCTGTCAGCAGACAGAAAATGATTGATGACAGTTGCAGCACCATCTGAGTGGACTTGTTCCTCCATCCAAGCGAGAGCCGGTGGGAGATTTTGTTCCCCCGGCGAGGTCAAGTTGGCCGGTTGTCACTTCTTGAAGCAGCGTTTATGGGTTTTGGACTTTATTTAAGGTAAAAGTTGTGGTTAAGCACGCAGGGCTGGAAGGAAATCGCTCTGAGGTTTGGGGAATAAATGGAAGGCGATGTAGGTCCTTCCAACTGAAGTAATGCAAACATGTGCGTAGCCGTTTCCTCGCTTGACATTGGCAAGATGTTGACCCACCATTGACCCCTGGTTGGCATGTGGCCGCAGCTTGTTTTACAGCCCGTGGGGGGCGAACGAGGGCCGACTGTGTGTGTGTGTGTGTGTGTGGCGGCGGCGTCCGGACCATCGAGAGCACAGGTGAAGCACAGCGGCGAGGCCGTTCCAGAGGAAAAAGCCTCCCTTCCCCGTCGTACGAAGCCTAATATCAATGATCTGGAAGACAGATGTGCTTTACGTCGAGGACTACTCTTTCCACTCGATGGAGTGTTTACACTGGCAGAGCATTTTGACTGATATTATGGTGGCAGTTCCTCATTCTTATTACATTGTCAATACTGCCTGTGGTCTAAATTTTGATAAATTGCTCTGGAGGAGAGATTTCCAGGCGGACGGAGCCGGAAGCTGCAGCTTGAATTTGTTTTTCGGCTATTGGATTGTATTTTTTTATGATGTCACCACGTGAAGGGACGAGGTAGATGAAGGCAGGTTCCCTTTAAACTCAGAGACTAACTATAAATATAAGCTACAACTACACAATTATAGTTTACAACAACTCTAATCTCTGCTTGTAGTATTGCAGCATTTGCTCTACTCTGCCCTCCCGTGACGTCCAAAGGTCTATAAATGATGGGAAATGGTGTTTGTTAAAAACACAAACATAAATAATACTGTTGAGAATATTGAATGTCATTAGCCTGCAAATTTCTTTGATTTTTTTACTGGAATTTGCTGGAATAGATATTATAAGTCCTGTTTTCACTTTGACTGTTTATACTGTAATTATGGAAAGCACGAAGGCTGGGAAACCAGCATTCTGAAGGCAAAACCCAAAACTAATAATCAACATGTTTAATCTCCACCACAAAACCACAACTAGTCCTTTTTTACATTTCGTTTGAAACAAAAAATGTTAAGTAGTGAGTTTTGAGAAGAGCTACAAGGTGGATTATGCTGCTCTTAGGCAAAGCCAGACCAGAGTTGTTGCTTTTTGAATGGATGGAAGCCATGAGAGGCCTAGTCCGGGTCTTTTGTTGCTCATGTCCCTTCCTGCACCCTCAGATCCTTGGATGCGTCCTCCATGTGTACTTTACAAACATGAGCACGGCTCACGGACACATAATAATAATTATTATAACAATAAAGAGGTTGAAAAGAGCCACATCATTGGCTCAGACTTTGTCTCTTTCTAACTGTTGGTTTCTAACCGGCGAGGTATCAGGCCGAGCTGCTGGCACCAATTTGGTGTGCAGGTTGTAAACATTTCTTCCTCGGGTCCTGGCAGCGACATCTGCAATCGATTTTCTCCCAGACCTGAAATGCCTCTTGTGTGCCAGGCCAAGATTCTTTTTTATGTCTTTGCTCTTTCTTCTCTTTTCTTTAAATCAGTTGTTTCTTCAGACATCCATCTATTCTTTTTGGCAGCTTAAACCAACTGTGGAGATGCAAGTGAAGGATCCTGGGACGAAAGTCAAAGGGTTTTTTTTTGCTGTCAGATTAACAGTAGGTTAGACGAGATGTCTTCCTTTGCCTGTTTTTTGGCCACTAGGACCTCAGCTGAGCCGCAGCAGCCCGGCTCCTGGCGGGCTTACGTCACGTTGTGTGGGGAAGAATTATCGTCAGCCCTCCTCATATCGTGACGCTCTTCCTCGGCACGTGACGCCCCCCCCTCCTCCCGATGAAAGCTCTGGTGGAGCCCGGCATTAAAAGGCTCAGGCGAGCTCAGTCCCGGCCTCCCGCTTCTACACATGTCATGGGCGAGAAAAAAGAATCCGAGTTGAGCAGCAGAGCAAATTGAGAGCAAATGGAAAAGACTTGCCACGCGACGAGGGCGGCCATGTTAGGCCCAATGTGAGACCAGCTGCACATTCCAATACCCGCCATTTATTATGCCACAGGAAGGCAGGGTGTCCCGATGATAGCGTGTCGAATGCAGAATGCCCAAATGCCAGGATGTCCGGTTCCACGCTGCAGTATGGAATCCCCCATTCTGACCCACAATGCTGTGCGCTATGAGCCAGAGGGTCAAAGTTCAGAAGCCACGTTATGACGAAGTAGTACGTCCCAAACC